TTCTTTGGCCACGGCTTACCTGTCCAATATTATTTGAAATCATTCTTAAGAGGGACCGAGAAATATCTTCAGGTTTGTAATCTTTCAGCTCCTTATCGTCAGAAATTACCTTGCTGAAGCTAGAAGCAATGGCTGTTGATATAAGACCAATCTGTAATTGTCAGAAAAATTACATTGCAGTTAATAAGCGTGAGACGAAAGCTAATGGAAACCAGGATCCCCTCATCATTGTTTAATTTAGGAACTCTTTTAATTTTGCATACAGAAATACGACCAGAACATGTCCAACATCCTATGTCGAAAGAGGGACGTGTCTGTCATGAATTTGCGTACCTTTGTATAGTCCATTCCACCATAGATGTCCCCGACAAGCATGTCTATCACTCTATTATTTCCCTGATGACTTAACTCGAGCAACTCGTCAAAACTGAGACACAGTTGCAGCTTTGGTTACTAAGTGAAAATCATATAACGAGAATATCAATAGCTTTGCACTTAAGCAAAAGACAAACGTACTTCTTGCACTTTGTTAAAAGCTTCCCCAAACCCCAAAAGGTTCCACCACCAACACTGGTTCCACTTACTCGCTCAAACTTACCAGGTCCATCTACCTATCCAAGCGCAAGCATAGGACAATATGTCAAGCCTTAAAAAGGTTAAACATATGAAACTATTACAGTAAATAATGCATCAGCTTTGACGAGAATACCTTGATCATACTGACACCAGAGCCAATATTGACAAGCAGATAAGGATATAGATCATCATGGTCAATCTTCACAAATTCTCTCTGACCATCCATGTATGTGAATGCTTCGCGTTGAACCGCCTACTTAAATAACAATGAAAACGTCAATGCTATTCTCAGGCAAGAAAGCAAACAAGACAGAAATATCTCTATAAACAGAAGCTGAATTTTGCAAGTTCCACATTTCATGACTCATTCCCTTTGCTTTTCCTTCTGAAAGAAAACAGAGAGTATTTCCTCTCGTCTGAGCTCACTATTGCTCATCCCAATTCCCAACCCACACATTCTATGGATTACATGACATGACTTAAGAAACACACCAACTTGTGTATACCAATCTATGTAAGTGGTATTAGGATCCCACCTTGAGCAGAAAATTTGATCCGGCCACAAGACAGTCCATTTCATCTGCCTTGTCAAGAGAAATCCCAAGCTTTTCTTTGAAGAGATCTGGGAATTTGTATGCCCCACCGCCTGTGGCCTGCTCACCATTGTCACGAGTCAATAAATTAGCTTGCATACGGAACAAGTACATGCCATAAACAGTCATAATAGTATGGCCAAGCTAAACACCTGTTTTTACCTTGATAACGCACTTCGCGCTCCCAGAAGCTCCTTCTTGTTGGGAGCCTGAAATCATCTACAACCATAAGCAATGACCCAAAACCAGCAAACGATAAGTACAACTACGAACAAGCAGCTATATTCAAGGCATATATGATCTTCTTTCGTATTTCATTTTCAGAAGTTCAAATCTTCCGTAACTAAAAATTTTTCGCAGTAAAAAATATGGGAACCATTATTCAAGCTGAAGCACTTCATTTACCAATAAAAATGGTAGTTTCAACTTTCAATCCAAGATTTCAACATGAACATTTAGTTGAGCAAAACAAGGTTAAATAATCTCAGTTAGTGAAAAAAAAATGAATCTTCCCATTTCCCAAGTTGGATTGAAACGAAATGAGATACGAATGAATCAGGAGATGCAAAGCTAAGCAAATACCTAAACATTTAAGCATACCAGCAAGGAGAAGTTGCTTGGACCGAATGAAGTCTATACAGTCATTGATTTTCTCAGTTTCAAACTTTGCAAAATGGAGCTTCCCTTCAAGAACATGGCGCCCTCTATCGCCATTAGAAGCTGCTAAACTCTCATTCGAAGAAGAAGAAGAGTCGACACTGTTCGTTGAGAAATACACCAACTTTATCAAAGAACCTGCCAACGGGCAAAACAAATACAAAAACAATCGAAATCATGAGACTTTGAGGAATTGACCTCCAAAAATAAAAAACCAGGTTATGATCGAGGAGAGTGAATTGCCTCCAATATCGAGAGCAAGGTGGGAAATTTGAGCTTCCGAATTGGTGGGTTTTGAAATCTCTGTAAGTTTAGTGCTCCCAGTTTCCATTTGGGTCGGCTTTCTCTTTTGATTTGATCTTTTTTTGGAATCAAATTGTAGAGTTGCCCCTCTGTAGTCTGCAATGCACCTAACGCATTTTATAAATTACTTTTTATTCAGGGTGGGGATATTCGATTCGATGACTTAAGATTTATCGAGAGATCACTCAGTTCAATATTAACCTTTGACTTTCAAAGGGAAGAAGGTAGCATCCTCTTCCCCCATTGGGTCATCCGTCGAAGGTTGTCTTGTAAGTTGTAATTTTGCGGGAAACTAAGCTGTCTGGAACAACTTTGTTGAGTCTTCTTCATTTATAAGTAAGAGATTTTAGACTTATTCTTAACAAAGATGAATTTTAACCATATTATAATTAGTTTATTGTGAGGCTTAGCACACATCTCTCTCCCTTAATATATATAATATCGTTTGTTTATAAAAAATAAAAAAACTTAAAATTTGAGTTTTAAACCTCCAAAGCTTCTCTAATTATTGGACTAAAAAATGTTTTAAATTAAAACTTATTTTTGGATCAAATTTAGCTTGGAAAATGAGCCAAGGATAGTGGTTGAGACTTAGTGCGAGGACCCAGTTGATGATGTTGTCGGCCTCTTGTGAAAAGACTAACAGCCCATGTGGTTGAACTGTTGGTTGATCAAACGGTCTATATTATTATTTTTTTAAATCAAATTTATCAATATGTTAAATCCAAGTTGAGCTCGAATATGAACAAATCTAACTATAAAAAAAATAAATCTAACGACCCAAAATTAAATGCAACGATTAAAACAATTATAAAAAGTTATTTAAATAAAATTCACCCAAAAATCCTATTAATACATATGTATTTGTTCAAATATCCACAGAAATTTTCTTTTGTCTTACAACCCTATAAAAAAATTGAAATGGTCACCAACTCACCATTAAAGTATAGGTTTGGAGAAATTGATTCAAAGCAGTAACAACTTGTACTAAAAATGTGATAAATAAGTAGCAACTAGTCCAACTCTCATTCTTATCTTGTGACATATAATTGGATATAAGTCAATAGTTTGTTCAGTTGCTTGTTTTCCCACCAAATACTGTTACAATGATTGTCAACTGCTTTCCTCCTACCAAATTATTCTTCACTGCTTTCCACCAATTTGTTTGTCTTCGCCGACTCTACAAAACATTATCATAAAATCATGTGATTTTGTTTTGGATTTCTACTAAATAAGTAAGAGAGCAAATTATAGGCAGCAAAGGTCGACGAACTATGAGATATTATATGTTAGGTCTTATCCAAATTTATGTCGGCCTCATTAAATCCCACATGGTCTTATCTAGTATGAAAGTTGTCACCCTCTTGCAAATTAACTTTGCAATCTAGGTAGTGGGGAATGCAGAAATCCTATCATATTTCACCGCATTGGTTCATGAAAAAGAGAGGAGTTACTTGATCAGCTTCAATTGGTTTTTTTTTTTGCTTCCCACAATGTTGCAATAGAATGGTTGAAAATGGGGATGTTCCTGGTTCTAGATATGTAAATGTTTTTCTAGCGAATGAATGGAACCCTTTACCTTTTGCAGCCTCAAATCTTGAACGTTTACAGTCAGGGCTTGAAGATTATGTTTTTACATTAAGAAACAAATGCATGGAGATTTCATATATGCCACAGAAATTGAAAGTTCCTTTTGTGAGTCTTGACACTTGAACTCTTGTAACTTGTAAGGGAGCATCTCAAGCTTGGTAGTGGAGTTGCATGCTCTGCAGAAAGCCGGAGTACTTGTCCGTGGACATGTAGCTCGAAAACTGAGGTTTGTTTCATCACTTACATTCCGCTGCTTTTCAATTCCCTTTACTATATTGGAACCCTAAAGTATGTAGCAGAGTCATCTGTGAGTGTGAGTTTGAGTCTGCAGATGCTTAAAAATCTTGTGATTATCCAGCAATTATGTAGTTATGTGACAAAATCCATTGTTTTGTTCGTCTTTTGTTTTCGTGTGTTTGCTTGTATTCATCTTTCCATGTGCTTGTTTTTCCTCTTTAAAGTTTAAGCCATATATTATACTTTAAAGATTTCTCACCTTGCTGTCCCTCATGCATGCCGTCACAACTCGTCAACTTTAAAGTTTCAACTTTCAAGGGTTAATTATTTGTTTAGTATGCCGACATACTATGTAATCGGTGTGTATTAATCATCTCTTGCGTTTGTGCTGTTTTCACATTAACACGATATGATGATCCCGAACTTCAAATCACTGGCCCACCCATAAATCTACAGCTGAGCAAAAAAACCAATGTATGTCGACTATCTGGTGGGGTCTTGGTACCACGCTCTAGTGCCGTTGTAAGACTGCCACGTGTATAGCTAGACAATTGTCTCTATACATTAAAAAGGTACCTATTAGTTGGAATGGAGTGCCAATTGGATGAAGTTGGACTGTGCCGCTGTGGTATTGTAAGCGAGTCGAGTTGTCCAAGTTTTGAACCGAGTCATATTTCAGTTCAGAACTACTTTGAATTGGGTTGAATCGGTTGACCATGAGCCTTATCCCAAATTGCATTTGGGTATAGGGGCTGTTGCTTGGAAGTCGCATGCATGGAGTCAACTCATTGTGCGGAGAAATTCGGAGGTTCAGCATCTGGATCACGTGTTTGTGAACTTAAAATACAAAATTAGAACACCACATACCTCACCCCTCCTAATTTGTCATGCTAATTCTATCCCACTTTAACCCCACCCTCCCTCTCACATCAACCCCAATCCAGTTTCTTTACCTAAGAACTTCCCCATTGTGAGAATTATACAGCAGTCCTCAACCAGCATTTCTCGAAGAAAAAGTGGTGACATTCGCCGAAAAAATTGATGTAGATCAAATGCACAAAGAACATGCATGTATATATATTTTTAGTACGTATTATTGAGCTCTCAAATACATTAATTCACTTATGTGTATGTGATTTTTCTATGAACTCTCACGACCAAGAAAACAAGGCCTATCAGAAGCCACTTAATTAAAAAGGAGTATATATATAATAGAAGTATGAGACCAAAAAAAAAGGACGGATCATTGATCACACAATTAACTTCTGAATAATAATTAGTCACTCAAGATTGTATTATAGATCAAGCAGCAGATGGAGCAGGAAGGTATGGAATGGTTGGCTCCGGCAGGGAAACCATGATCGACAGCGGCTTTGAGAAAGTTTCTTCCTCCGCAGTTACTGGGTTTTCAGCCTTGAAATCCAGGGAATCGTCGTTGTAAATTTCCCACCATTTGGCCACTAAGACCTTGATATCCTCTCTGTCCATGTTAGCTTCCTTGCCAGTATACCTCCATGGTTTTGATCCCTATAATTAAGAAGAAACAATTCATTAAGAGTGATTAATTAAATTAAATACGCGTAATCAATCTGTTAAATAGTACTTACTGCAGCACAGTAGTGAACCACGTTTACTTGATCAAGCTGCACGTTCTCTGGGTGGCGCCAAAGATTGGCTAGAACTAGGTTGTATATATTTGGTATGGGTTTGTAAGTCTTTTGGAAGAACATGTTCAAGAAATCCTGTAAAACAAACAAAAAGATTTTATTAATCTCAATTCACAGTGAAATTATTATGTCACAAGGCAGAAACAACCCCACATAAATTTCGCTCAGTTAATTTAAAAATAATCAAAATTTCCAATCAACTTTCCTGTTCTGCAAAAGGGGTGGGTGGGACAACTTGCAGTGTCTGAAGAAGGCTGTTGTAAGTCAAGCGGCTAGGCTCGAACACAAACATTCCGGCGTTGAAGTACAGTGGAGGAGGAGAGCCCATGTCCGCAGGCCATGAAACCTTGTCAGGGCACTGCTGGCAATACCCAATTTTGTGTTGAGGTGAGTGACTCCAAGTTTTCTCACAGAAGCAGTCCATCACAGCGTAGAAGTAGCCATTAGGCGTGGCAAACAGGTGATCTATGTTCTCATACACTTGGATATCCGCATCCAAATATATCATTTTGCTGTACTCCTCAAACTGCATATATATAAGTTCCATATACTCAAATATATACTGATGCCATGTATACATATTTATTGTAACCATAAGAAATGCATGTGCGCATATTTTGTTCACCAGACAGTCTGATATTATGTTGTACGACAATTGATTTAAATCATTGGCAGACTAATTTCATTCGACAGTTTGACAACATATTAGATGTTTATACGTTATCATGATAAATATCAATATATGGTATGGTTTTACATACTTACATTCCAAATACGGAGCTTCGAGTAGTTGATGACATAGTAGGCCATTGCAAACTTGATCTGGTTCTCAGGAGGATAAATAGGTTCGATCTCTTGGACAATACAGCCCTGAGACCGTAATATCTCACGGTGCTCCTCCGGCACGTCCGGCAATATTGCAACCACAAGAGAGTATTCACTCTTCACTTTGCGTAGGCCCTTAGCCAAACCCACAACCCCTTTGACATAATCAGCATCACCGGCTAAAAATGTCACAAAGGCCCTCTTGGAGTAGCCTGTAGTAGTACTGTTGCTGGTTGCCTGCAACACATCAGCTGGAACTTCTGGTGGTGCCATTGCCTTGATTTTTTGTGCTGAATAGTAGTAAAGGGAAGATGTTGGGGTGATTTGGAAAGTTGCAGAGAGTGGTTTGATGAAAATTATTAGGTTGGTGTGTTGAGAAATGAGGAGTGTGGGGAAAGTAAATTTGTTACACTGATGAAGCCACCCTACTAACCTTTGTTCCTGAGTTGCAATCTTGCCCCTTTGGATGCTTTAAATAAACAAATGAGGACTAAATGCATGTCAGATGAATCCAAATGAAACCCAAATGCAAAGTTCCAATTTTATTTTTAATTGTATTTTTATTTTTATAAATAATGTTCTATTGGGGTTTATGATGGTATTGGAGAGAAATAAAAAAACAAGAATGAATGAATGAACAATGTTTGTTGTTCAAACCCACCATTCATCTAAATTGGGTAGCCTTATCATCAAGAATCAAGATGGACGGCTGAGATTAATGGGAGGTAATAAGGTCATGGTCAATAGAAAACACAGGAGGCTCCATTTAGGCGGTGTATTCAATTGAGAATTTGAGATACTTTAATAGATTTATAAATCTATGGATTTTTATGGAGTTTAATTGATTTGTAGAGATTCCATTTAAAATTTTGATTCAATTCCCTCGAAATCTCATGGGGAGATGTGAGATTTGTGGATGCTTAGAATATACTACAAAATATCTTCAATTCCCTCTAATTCCTCAACTTTCTCAAATTCTTTCAAATCATTTTCTAATTGAATACACCTGGAATGTTATAAACTTATTTAAAATCCCAATTGAATACATCTGGATTTTTAAGGATTTTAATAAACTATCTTAAAATTCTAATTGAATATACCTTAATTTCAGAGAATCACTTAAAATCTTAATTAAATATCCCTAAATTCATTAAAAGAATTAAAATCCCTTATAAGCACTTGTAACGGGGGATATGTAATAGGCATCAAGTGGGAATCATTTTCCGTTGTGGAAATATATTTAAGAAAGTTAGCATCAAAGGGTGTAGTCGGCTGAAGTGGGGTCTTTGATAGAGAAATGATCATTTTTAGAGGTCGATGCCAAATTAAGGAGAAAATTTGGCTAAGGGTTTTTGTCCACGTCATTTAGGCGACTATTTTCATATAATCATGGCATGCGATTCTTGTATTTTGATTTCATCTGACTTTGTCACAAATGAGAGTTAACAAGACTATTGAATTTCCTTTTAGAATATAGAGAGGTTTATTTTTAGGCTCAAACTCAATCACATCCATTAGCTTCTAAAACATGATTAATACTACATACATGAGTTTAGCACATATATTTGAATATTTCTCTCTGTAGTACAGATGAATTTAGTGTATTTATTAAAAAAAACCATAATTAATACAAAGCTTGCCCTAAACCCTAAACCCTAAACTTTATCATTGAATTAATCAAGGAAAAATCAGATGTGGGTTTTCATTTTGATGAGAAAGTTTAACAATAATTATAAAGATTGACTAGCTTAATGATTGGGAAGATTATTGATTAATTGACCTCTGGCATATTCCTCTATACCAACAATGAGAAAGGAAGGAAAATACAAACAAAATGATGGAGAAAATATGTTGAGACCATGCATTAGCATGTGTGATGACAAGAATTAATAACAAGATTCTCAACGTCTATGAATTTGAAGATAATCGATGGACGATGAAGTTCAAAAAAGTTTTGTTTATATATGATCCATGCACCCAAACAAATTACCAAAGTTGTATATTTGTCTGTATTAGTTAAATAAACCCTAATTTTTATGTTATTAAGAAGGTTTTTTATAAAATAAAAAATAAAAAGAAGAGAGAGAGAGAGAGAGTGGTATATGCATGCACTTGTTCATTAAGAGTCAGTCCTCAAGCAAGGTATTTGGTATTAATCGTGACTGATAAGAATTAGGGTTAGCTTTATTTCCCCTTTTTCTTTTGTGCTTTTACTGCAGATTCCAGCACCCTGTAAAATTTTGTTTCCCGCGGCTTTCTCACTTGCATATTATAAATATCTTGAAAGACGTATGTGGTTTTTCAAATACCACACAAATCTCATCCAACAACGAATTCTCGAGGAGGCAGCAGATACATAAAAGTTTTCCTTCGTTGAGAATGTTGCCGACGTCATTAGAAATTCCACAATATTATTGACGTTTCAATAAACATATGTCAAGTCAAGAGAAATAAACATAATGATATGGACGATACTACAACTACCATATACTTCGAATCATATTGTGTAAATCATAAATTATGATAATTGTGATTATATTTCTTGTTTAAATCATTAAAGAATGTATTCAACCATCAACCACCACATTATATATGTAGCCTATAAAGTATGGTTTACAAACATGGTCTTCCTGACATTTTCCTAAGTGTATATATTAATGGTTGATATGATGCTGTGTGGTTGGTCGAGACAAGTTAGGTTAAGCTTAATTGAGAAAAAGTTTGTAATATATAACATGAAAAACGTTACAAGAAAGCAACGCTTGCTTATCTGATAGAGAACGATCATCTCTTCCTTTGATTAATTACTTACAATTACATATGTAAAGCTGATCTTATCTATGAATAAAAATGCACAAAGTATCTGGTGAATCACACACACACACACACACATAAACGAAAAGATCATTCAAAGTAGATCACTTACACCTCAAAGTGGAACCATATCATCTCCAGGAATTGCGCAGAGCAGATGATTAGGCCCTATATACTATGCCTTAAAGAAAAAGAGAAAGAAAAAGAAAAGGGAGAGTACTCCTTGTTTCATCGATCTTCCTCAACAATCTTGCTCAATGTTAGTTTGTAAAGGGCTCCTTAGTTCTGTAGGTTGCAGCCAGTGTTTAACCATGGCAAAGAAGTGCATACCCGAAATTTTGTCCATTAAAACTTTATTAAAACAACAATTATGTCAAAGAAAATCAGCGTTTAGCCATCTCGTTGTTATCCTCGAAACGACATATTATGGGTCCAAATTGGACACCAAGGCTCCAACTTGTGAAAATTGAAAATATGTTATTTCGGCTTCACCTATCATAGCAGTTGTATAATCTTATCAAAGATTTAGGGTTGGAGGAGTACTAGATCGAAGAGTAATTTGACGCTCACACATGACAAAAGCCGCAGGTAGGAGATATTCTTCGGTCTGGATACCGGACCAGCTAGCTTGTTATTGTATGCATCTGCATGCATGCATAACTACTGCAGATGCCCATAATATTTATCCATCCATCCATCCATGCTTGCTTTCCGAAACCGCATGTTATATTTCAATTTTAATTTAAGTCAATCAACAATTTTCACTTTAAGGAGAGATAAGTCGAGAGTAATTTTGATTTTATTTGAAAAGAAATCAAATTAATTATTAACCTATGTTTAAAGTTAAAGTGACTAATGCCCTATTTGATGAAATGCATAATTATTTATTGATCTAACCCGAATTTCTTATTAAAAAATTCACACATGAAAATGTGAAAATGTCATCTCCAAAAGAAGGTTCCAAGGCAGAGATGGTGTTAGTGGCGTGGGCATATTTGCATGGAGAGGCATGCCTTGCAACTTTTTGACTGCGGAAAATTGAGAGAAATCCGATATTTTGATTCTCTAGTCTTTTTACAATAATGTGGATATTCATGCACAAAATTACAAACTAATAAAACTGTTTTGTCGTTAAGTGGGGGATATTTCATATTTGTGTACGACTTTCACCCGTCTCTAAGTTGTGACAAAAAAGGGGATTTTATTAGGATCCTTATCTCTCTGTCTCCGGAGGGTCCCAAACCTCAGAGGCTGGTAATCAATGGAACCCTCCAATTAGATCTGATAATTTCTTACACGATTTGTTGACACGATAAGTAATGGTCGTACCCAGTGCACAAGGCTCCCGCTTTACGCATGGTCTGGGAAAGGTGAGTGTTGGCTAGCCTTACCCCCATTTATGGAGAGGCTGCTCCCAAGTCTCGAACCCGACAAGTAAACGATACGAAAATAACGGATTTCGGGTCAATACGATAACTAATCGGATTATTATCAGGTCATATGATAATAACCCGTTAATAACGGGTCCTTAACAGGTTTACACGAGAGTGACACGCGGTAACCTGTTTTGACACGATAAGAAAAAAAGTTATTTTGATGATTTTAATTTTTTAAACTACTAAAAAAAACTTACTATAAAATACAATAGATATAATGAATATGTATATATTGTTTATTAATTATTATTCTATATAACTTTTAAAATTGAACTTTTATTTATTTATTTATTTTTATAATATATTATAGGCAAAGATTGTGTCACAGCCCGTCCCAAGATTTTATATTTGGGGACGTGAAATGACGGATTTACCCTTAGCGGGTATTAAGGTATGTGTGTGTGACGTTATTTGGATTAACTTTATATAAGTTTTGGATTAAAATTATTGGTTTGTAAAATATTGTGTGGTTAGGGATTAAATGGATGGTGAGGATTTGGTGTTGGACCACCTACACTCCCTGCTCTCTCCCTCTTCCCCGTATCACTCTCTCTCTCTTCCCTCACGATTCTCTCACTCTCTCTCACTCTCTCTCACTCTCTCTCACCCATAAGCGTACGGACATCACCAAAACCCTCCAAAACTCCGTGGATCGAAGCAAACAAGGTAAGATTCTTTATCCTTGTGATGTTCTGAGTTGATTGGTACTAATTTTAGGAAGTGAAACCCTCGGAATCGTCGTGAAACCCTAACCCCGAAAATGTGCATTGTTCATGCACACGTGAAATGTTGCATTTCAGGGAATTCTAAGCTTATAGTGAGCTTAGTGAAGTCCCAAGGAAGCTCGGAGTGCTTCGTTTGAAGGTTTTGGACGTCGGGATCACTAGGTTCGAGTTTGGCCGGTTTTTCTTGGATTTTCCCGGTGATATTTTGTTGTTTTTAGAGCTTTAAAGTAGTATATCGTGAATCTACATGTTTGAGGCTTCATTTTGATATAAAATTCAAAGAAATCGGTTGAGAAACGAAGGAGAACAAGCATTTTTAAAACTCGTCTTAAAGCATTTTTAAGACGATGCGCGTGGGGGCGCGTGGCAAGCCTAAAAATTTTTCTAAAAATTTCTCGACGTCCGTGACGTCGAGTAGGTCGATGTGGTATATTCATATACCCAAATTGAGCACTGTGTATGAGAAGTTATTTCGAATTGTCGGTTATGTGTTTAAATTAACGTTTTTATAGTTGTTTCGCATATAGGTGACACATATCCCGAGGACGAGCGCATCCAGGGACGTCACGGGGGTTACGACCCATCGACTTACCAGTGAGTGGGCAGTTTTGTTTTCGTATTACCTATATACTACTGTTTTTCCCAGAAAATGCATTTATATGAAAATATGTTTTTAAATGCCACGCATGCAATTGTTGAGATGTTTGAACTAATAATTGATGCATATATATGTGAATTGACGTTGTGGATGCACAGGTGAGTATCAAGTGAGTTTATATGGTTTATATGAATGAATGATGATGTGATTGCGTTGTGAGCTCATAAACTGCACCTTTGGTATTAGTGCTTATAGTATTCACCACACCGCATGCTCGCCTTGGATCTAAATAGGTGGATGTCGTACAGACCACTAGAGGTGGTTCCGACATGCCAGTCGTACAGACCATTAGAGGGGTTCCGACTAGTGGGTGACTTTAGATTATGTGCACAAATGATTGATGAGAGAAGCACTAGAGCGTATTATTTCACCATCTTAGTCGTACAGACTACTATAGGTAGTTCCGACTTATGTGCAGTGTAGTGTCGTACAGGTCACAGTTGGTGACTCCGGCTGGATGGGATATTGAGCTATAGAATCAGCCGTACATGACCACTGTAGGGTCTCCGGTTGATTTATTATTTCACCTGAGTTATATTGATGCATTCATATTATATTTTGGCATGGCATGGCATATTCTTTATGAGATGTTATGTTGATAAATGGTGAGCTGAGTTTTGATGATATATGTATATATATGTTTATATTCTATTTTTCTGGGAAAGTATACAGGTTTTACGGTGAGTGGTTAGAAACGTTTTAAATGAAATGTTTTTGGAAAATCTTTGGTTTTACTAACCCACTCATCTTTGTTTTGCGCCCCTCCAGGTTCTAGTTAGCAGTTGGTGGCTCTCGAGGTCTTTTTTGGCATTCTGACAGACGTACTGCATGTAGGTCTCACATGCGGGTGTTGCACTTTTAATTATGGTCCTACTTGACTGCACTTGATACCTACGCTCTGAACTTGTGTGTTTTACTTTATAATTCCCTCCTTTTATACTAGTAGGTTGTTACTGCTAGTGGTTGTTTTAAATTCCTTCATATTTCTGTTATATCTTGCTTCCGTGTCGCACTTTTGGCTACGTCACGCTCACGTAACGGCCAACACACCTTGATTCTAGGATCGGGGTGTGTCAGATTGAGATTAAAAATCATAAAACACATTAAAAATAAAAATATCAAGTAATTTAAAAATACCAAACACATTAAAAAAATTATAATAATTAATTTACATATGCAAAAAAATATGCAAACGCTCGTAGTCGCATCCTCTACACTTTGAGGATAGGTATATGATCATGTGAATTTTTAAACATACAAACTCTCATGAATAGTATTTTTAAGGGGGTTCAAAATAACCAAAATTCATAATCATTAATGTATAAGTCTGAAAGATGTGAAAGCATAATAAACGTTCATAATTGCATCCTCAACACTTAGACGATGGTTACATAATTGTTTAAATTTTTAAAACCCTCTAAATCTCATGAACAATGTTTTATATTTGAGTGCAAAATTAATAATAATTATTGTAGAAGTGTGAAAAATGTAATCACTCGTCATGAAAAGCTTTATAACTTTCACGAAGGGATCAACTCCGAAATTTAATATGTATATACTAATTTAGTATTATGTTTTAAATTTTTTTTTTGTCAAATTCTGTTTTTCATTTTCATTTTTATTGATTTAAAATATATTTTTCTTAACGGGTAACAGGTCAGGTCATATTACCCAATAATATTAACAGGTTAATTTCAGGTCAGGTCATATTACCCGTTTACTTTAATAGGTATTACACAACACAACCCGTTAAGCTATCAAGTACGACACGAAAACGACACAAACACGAAAAACACGATACGAATGTCAGGTCTAACCCCAATACAATTGGGCCCCCAAGATGTTGACGCTCTGGCCTTCCGTGTAATTCGTGCGCACTAGGCGGCCTAAATCTTGGTTGCACAATAAAATGTCTCGAATTTCTTGAGTCCCCCGAATCACATGAATGTCCGGTTAAAGACCCGCTGCGTTGGGATCCAACTGGGGTGTGTGAGGTTGAAATACAGGAGATGGACCTAGTGGGATGTTTTTGGGTCTTGGACGGATGAGTGACGTGGTACCTCCACCTGCATCACTTGGAATTCTTGCATGGCAAGAAACAAAGCAAGGCACAACACAACAGTAGACATAGCAATTACAATTCAGAAACTGTATCCAAAATCCAACCAAGAGCTCAAATGTATACATTTGATTTGACCAACCCCACTCCCACTCCCACTCATTCGTTCTTTCTATCATAACATAATATTAAAGGTCTTCCTCCTACACGAAATGAGAATTCCCAGAAGAAATACAAGATTTAACAACAATTCAATTGTCTCAAGAAAAAACAAAAAGAACAAGATAATGTTCACCCCTGCATCCAGAATTTCCGGTCCACAAAATGACTCCTCAATACGATCACGCCTGCAATTAAAGGACGAGCATGAGAAAGCGGAAGGAGGATTCAAATGTCACAATAATATCAGATTTCTGAAAGTGATGGTTATAAATAAGTTTGGTAATTACACACATTTCACTCTAAAGAAGTATAAACCAGTGGACGGGGAACTAGTTTACCTTGTTAGCAATGTTGTTGGAGAGCCAATCGAGCCCCTCATATAGACCCTCCCCAGAGGTTGCACAGGTGCTCTGAATGTACCTGGAAAACCACACATTGCAAGTTAGACCTATAAAAGGTTAAAAAATTGTATCACACAAGGGGAAAGAAGCCCATCAAGATTACCAGTGACGCTGTCTCAGAGAGTGCAGGCCAAGCTTATCAGTGATTTCGGCAGCATTCATTGCATTGGGAAGATCTTGTTTATTAGCAAATACGAGCAACACAGCATCACGCAGTTCATCCTGAAAACAGAATATTCCAATTACACAAAATAACGCAACATAAATAACTTGTTCTGATGTCTCCATTATCAATTAGGTAAAACCTTTGAAAGTGAACATGCATCAACAGCATACTAAACTAACTTCAGAATGCTGCCGCTTAAGTCACTGCATCTTTATCGTCTTTAATTAGATAGAAAACCTTACGCTGTGTTCATATAAACTACAAGTTTCAGCCCATTCATAATCCTAAATCTCATACCCTCAAATCTGGGAAATTCCAGAAGTTGAAAGGATGAGATTTTAAACATATCAGCACAGAATACACGGTACGCAAACAAAGCCAAATAAAATTTCTTTAGCAACATGACAACAAACCTCATTCAACATCCTATGCAATTCATCCCTTGCCTCAACAACACGGTCTCTGTCATTGCTGTCCACAACAAAGATAAGACCCTGTGTGTTTTGGAAGTAGTGCCTCCACAATGGTCGGATCTGAAAGGAAAGAAATACGATTTACCAACTTGTCACCCACAATTTTCAAAATCTTTCAAAGTCTTGTAGACAAAAACAAGTAGAGAAAACTTTCGGAAATCATCAAAATCTCTTTAAATAACTTTACATCGCTCAGAAACATGAACTAAACTTCATACCTTGTCCTGACCCCCGACATCCCAGACAGTGAAGCTGATGTTCTTGTACTCCACAGTCTCCACATTAAACCCTGTCAATCAAGTACTCTTTTATTCATTCTACAATTGTATAATTTCAAAAAATTGAAAGAAAAATAATTAAAAAGCCTAATGAACTTCATAAAGGAACAGTCTCTACAGAACATCGAAATAAAAGAAAACAAAGCAAAAGAAAAAGGGCCTTTATACTTCTAAGTTTAGCAAAAATACCGCTTCTGTTATGTTGTGACAAACTTATCTTTAGTTGCAAAATCTTTAGTTGCAAACTCACAAAATGATTAAAATAAACATTGTTGCTATCATATCAAGCAAGAAACAACATTCTCTTTCAATTACAAGCTACGCCTCCCAACCATAAAAAATCACATTGGAACTATAGTGATGTGTTGCCATCCAAACCATTTAGCGTCTTGGAACACAAGTTTCGTTTCCATCAGATCAACCATATCAAACATTAAAATCAACATTTCTTACATCAAACATTAAAATCAACATTTCTTACACAAGTAGATTAGAATGTCAATTAATTGCAGAAGAAATGGTGAGGAATATCATCACATGCTAAAGTCTCTACACATTCTACAAAGCTGACATAACAATGATGAGCACACAATTACTAGGTAGGGGAAGAAGGAACTTACCAATGGTGGGAATGGTTGTGACGATCTCACCAAGCTTGAGCTTGTAGAGGATGGTGGTCTTACCGGCGGCATCAAGACCGACCATCAGAATTCGCATCTCCTTCTTGGCAAAAAGCCGGCTGAAAAGCTTCGTGAATGTAAGCCCCATTTCTGGCTACGGATCCCTACATATCGAAACACCAACTCACTTACATCACAGATCAAACAGATCAAACTCCGGCAAGGCCAAATGTAAAACGCTCTAAAGGCAATCATTTGCAAGTTCATATTATCTCATCCAATAACACTTTGACGAATTCAAACTAGTAACTACCCCATGCAGCAACAGATCAAGCAGATCTGGAGTTACAGCATCGCAATTTAAAACATTTGCAATGAAAAGTTGGAGCATAATCATAGAGATCCGAATGATTCGAATCAGAGTGAAAAATCAACACAAATCTCACGGAATTAAAGCAATTTACCACACTAAACACAAATGAACCTTAAATCTAACCGTAATTAACGAAATTACCACGAAATCCAACCCAAATCGAGCGCAAAAGTACCGAAATCCAACGGAGAACGGTGAAAATGCGATGAAATTCAGAGATATTCGAGATCTGACAGTCGGAATTTACCTTCGATGAGCTTTCGCAGAGGGATCTTGAAGATGGAGATCGAGGGAGAGAGAGAGAGAGAAGGAGACGGAAGCTTTGAACCAACGCGTGAATGTGTAGGGGTGAGGATTGTCAACTGGGGGTTTATAAACTCGACTATTTTTTTCGTAATTGGCTTGAAGTACGAAAATGCCCCTACAACGCTAAGCCTGCGGGTGACATTGTGTGTCCAATCAGTGCCCGCCATGTCACTGGTCATTTAAAACGACGACAGATGCGCCATCGTCGCGTCCACATTGTAAACAATGTTTTGTGTTCCGTAGGGTTTAAAGCAATGCAGTCGCCACCGGACTTGGATTGTCTGCCCTACAATTTCTGTGCTTTCTCGTGCCCTTCTGTTTTTGTGATCACGGTTAAGCCACGTCAACATTTTATATTACTATTTCTTTTTGTTTTATTATTTTTATAAAAAATAATATAAAACATTAACGTGGCTTAACCGTGACCACACAAAACAGAAGGGCACGGGAATGGCACCTAAATGGGAGGGCAGACAATCCAAGTCCGTCGCCACCATCACCAACAGATGTTATTCAGTACTATGATTTGTTAGTATTTTTTTATGTCTAATATATATCGGATGGTTTGTGCGGCTACAAATCTAACAGTTAAATACATTTCGCTACAACATACACTTGTGTATGCTAGAAAATCCCTCTTGATAGATCGCTTGATAGATCGTTACCGTCTTTCACCTTGTGTGCCTTTGTATCTAAACAAAGTAATAACTAATAAATAATTAATTATCGGACATTAAAGTGATTTATTGTATGAAGAAGAAACATGCAATTTATATTTCTGATCTACAAGTCCCACAAGTTATTCGCTTTTTTCTGCGAAGGTGAAAGAAAATAAATGTAATTTATAATTTTATTTACATAAATATATGCACAATAATATGGGCTGCCTCTTTTAATTTGCATCCCATGCTCCCTGGGAGCAATCCACTGTTTCTTCAAGCATATGCCCCCCTTCATCTTATTTATCTCAGATCTGAACCTGTAGATAAAAAATAATGAAATGCAATAATTCAAGATCTGAAAACATAATCCAACTCCAGCCTCATGACCAATTTTTCCACACACGTTAAGATAAGATGAACTTTTATGCAGAAAGTGCAAAACTGCAAACAAAAACGAGGGACGTGGAAATTACCGATGACCCCAACTTGTTTCAGGGATCAGCGCCAGTATTGAGCCCACCGATGAATGGTCTCAACCATTTGAGGAAACAATGCGCTGACACTCTCATTGATTAAGTCCTGGAAGAAATGTATGCAAGCTTCATCGTCCAAGTCCAACCGGAACTTCTCCTGGAGCTATACATATCAAAAAGTCGCCATCAAAACAAACACTAGATTTACAGTCACAATGATTATAATTGCAAAAGAAGTCACCTTGAGGATGCCTTTTTCAGGATCTGAAGCTATGTCAGGAATGTTGGAACCCGCCATTAGGTGAAACAGGTTCAAGATTAGGTTACTGGATTTCCTAATAATGTTGTATGCTTCGCAACAGTAGGATTTGAACCTTGTATAGTACTGGCTGCACAAGTAATATAATTAATCAACCTTGTGTATTCCGGTATGCTAATCTTGCACCCATTATGCTATGGATTTCATGCCATAAATCTTATGCAACCCCATCTAGCAAACATGATGAAAATAAAAGCAACACAGAGAAAAAAATTAATCATTAAGTACCTTTCAGCTCCACCCATAGCCTCAACCATTTCTTTGCAAAGCTTCATTGGCGGTGGAAACGGCTTTGGATCACGACCCAGAATGAAGCCAAAATCAACATGGAAAAGACGTCCATCATCCACAAGGAGAAGGTTATCAAGATGCCTACAGAGGACAATTTAATGCTTTAAAATATGCATTTCTGTACCTCATAAGCAGAACATCAGTCGTGCAGATAGAATACTGTGTCAGGCCAAAACAAAAAAATGATTGACTGTGAATGGTTGACTATACTTATGGCATTGGTAGCTGTATAGAACTTGAGGAAAGAAAATGACCCTCATTTCCAAAAACTTGAATGATGCTTATAACTTTTTTACTCCTTGTTTTGTCTTTCTTTTCTTGAGAGAGAGAGAGAGAGAGAGAGAGAGAGAGGAAGTTCAAAGCATGTCATCATCTTCAAATCCTCACCTGTCTCCAATGCCCAGTATATATGTGATTACAGAATAGCCAGCACAGCTTTTTATAAATGTTTCCAGACAGGTAGCAGTAATACCAAACGGTCCATGCTCATCTGGATGAAATTTCTGCAGGTAGCTTGTAATGCTTCTATGCTCTGAGAGAATCTGGAAAAGAAAACATTTTACCATATATCATAAGTTTAACAGTCTAAAATCAAGATACAACAAACCAAGGTCATCAATTAATGTAAGCATTGAGATGACATCACTATCTGTCAGGAACCTTTAAAGGATTTAATACCTGTGCTAATGAGCGGGATGGTATGAATTCTAGCATTCCTTCATCTTGCCCAGTCGCAAGAACTCTATAAGGAGTTAAGTGCAGATCAAGATTTTCCAATTTCAGCAATCGATCCATGAGATATACCATTTGAACAACCTACAGGAAGCACAGATCCACTTAATCAGAGCTCTCAAGTGTGTGCATGCCACAGCCACAAGGGTCTGTGAAGGAGAATACTTACTAATTGGTCTTGGCGGATATCATCCCCCTTCTTAAAGATAATTTTGCAACTTCCCCCATTTGCTGCTCGGAAAGTCAAACGCAAGGGATGCAGTGCACTTTTGAATATTGATGACTCAGATGGCACGATCCCTGTGATGAGGACTCCTGGAGCCAGTGGTGATCTTATTGGCTAGAAACATCACAGACCAACATAGTCAACACACAAAGATACAATTGGTGAGGCTATAGGAATTGGTAGTTTAATAGATAATAAGATCAGTAGACAAGGAACTTCAACCAAAGTATTACCTCTTCAAAATACGTAAGTTCACTAAGAAGACCAGAAAGCAGTTGTCTAAGCTTTTCAATCTTCTTCTGGGTATTGCCACGTACATTTCTTACATCTCTCATTATTGAACACAACTGTGCAGTCAATTCTGTCTGGCGCACCAAACTTTGCCACAGTTTAAATCCATCTTCATCTCCTTGCACACCAGCTGGCAACTGATATAAAAATTTGGATAAGGTTTATTTCCATTCTGGCTCCAGCCAATGAAAAACTAGGAAAGGCATTATCATATTGACCAAACAGATAGGTAATCCCAATAGCTACATTTGATGGTTGGAGAATCTACATAAATGTTTATGCTATTCTAAGGATCCAGATTCATACCAAATCAAAACAGACAACACAAACGACCACATCACGGTAGTTTATGAACTCTCACCTTCATCATATTCTCTTCCAGAATTTCATAGGTACAGTAAAACCGTTTGGCATATGCTGGATCATGAAGTTCTACAGCAACATACCAGCGTAGAAAGCTAGCCAACTCAATGTTTCGTAATGCTGTCAGATCAAAAGTATCATCAGGATGCCTTTAAAACCTAGATACTGTGAAGAACTGAAGTGTAGCCTTGCACATCCATGCACACATCCCAAAGAAAAACATTAAAAGTAGCATGAGGGTATGTGCATGTGCACGAACAGCATACAGATGTGAAGATAGCATCTGACCACATACCACGTTGCACAAGGAAATGAGAAAGGCGAGATTTATCAGAGCGCTCAAATCGAAGAGCCTGAACCAGTTGAAGTAAGTAACACTGGAGCTCTTCATCGTCAGCTCTTTCAAGAACACTGACAGCATATGCACGAACCTGGTAGGAGGTATTAAAGTTGGGCATTAGTCAGTTTCAAATTAAATGTGTAAAAGATTTTAAATAAATCAATGATGGAGTGCTATATGCATCACTGCATAACACACTTTTCATCTCCCAGATCAACAGAGTTACTCTTATCTAGGACATCGTATCCCATTGCTCAGCATGACAAAGAAAGCATGGAATTTGTAGGTTGTACTTATACAACAGATGCAAGATGCAATTCCCTCTTTTCTTCATGTTCTTATTCTTATATTCGGCCTAATCAGTAATCAGCTACCATGGGTTTGGAAGGAGCACAATGGCAGAAAAATTTATATGGTTAACTTCAAATCCTGGTGATTAGGATCTGAAACTATGTTTTAACAGGAGTACGAGGTTAAAAAAAAAGTCCTACAGGTAACAGTTGTATGACAATAGAGAATAGGTAACAGCAGCTCAAGTGTTACAGACATGCCCACCTCTTCACTTTCAAAAACAGGAGATAGCAGCTCTAATGCGTCACAGACATCAATCATGCTCCATTTTCCCATCAGTTCTAATGCTTGTTTTGCTTCCTGCAAACAAATGAACATGGAATTCTTGAAAATCTAATCTATTTCTTATTCCTTAGTGATAAAGTTGCATAAACAAGAAAGAGCAAGCCAAGTACATGAATGAGAGATAGCATTCCAAATATAAAATCTGTTCCTTGTCAACTATAGAGATCAGCAACAGTCCGCACAAAAGTAACTTCTCATGTAAAAACTATATCAATGATTGATATTTTGGTATAACACTAAGCATATTGCCAAAAGTGCAATAATCCTAATTGGGACGTGGATAGTCACATGTGAAGCTAATAGCTGGCCTGCAGCTTACTAGTGATGAATCAGAGTTGGACCGAAGTCCTAAGATCAGCTAAACAAGCTCCCTTTATATATAACCAATAGAATAAGCTGTAAATAAGAAGTATTAAAACAATTTTACCACAGGAGTTAAATAAAACTGCATGCAGTAGTAATATGGCACATGAACTAATGGTTAAAGAGGAAAATGATGAGAAGGAAGAACAAAGAATGCAGACCTGAACATCACTCCATTCAACACATCTGAGGAACTTTGTGAGGGCCCTCTTCTCTGACATCAATGAGAAACGAAATTTCCAGAGGAGCTGCCTCTCATCGCCACTCAAAGTCCTTGTTGGTGGGTATTTCAAAATCCCCTGTATTGACCTACAGGAAAAGGAAAACAATTATATACCTCCAGCTTACTTAATAAAAAAAATCAATCAGAAGAACATATAACAGTGATGTTGAAACAAAAGAATATGGCAAGTTGAGAAGACTGGTCCATCTATAATAAGACACTAACAAAATCCAATGGTAATTAAATCAACCATTACACAACAACTGATCCCAAGTGAGAAGTATCTGCCTATATATAATTGGTACCATAAAAGTAGAACAGAATTCCAGCCAATTAATCAGCAACATGAGTTTGTATGAACGTAGTTGTGACAATAAAAAATATGAAAACACCGTTATTCAACATATGAACCTTTAGAGTAAATTTCAAACTTACTTTCTCTCGTTGGAGCTTGGTTTGAGATCCCTGTCAATGATACCACGTGTTAAACTCCTAGCAAGTTTTAGTTGCTTGTGCTCTGATGGATTTATCTTTCCCACTTCTGGGTCCCAGACCGTGACAATTTCATTTGTTGAAGCTATTGGGGATGGTAATAAGAAATTTGTCCCTGATTCCTAGATTCCAATAAATAAAGGTTGGTGCTAGGCAAAATCATCATCCACAGAAAATAACAACTAAAAGCTAGTTACTTATTTCAAGATGTGATAACAATAAATCTTGAGTTTCAGCATAAAAGAAGAGTTTAAATAGCAATATAAGTATGCATTTGTGAAAAATAACACCAACAAATTAAATATCAAAGTCTAACCAGATAGTTATAGCTAAATATCAGCCAACAGGTAACTTTGTCAACTTCAGATTAGTTGCAGACTGGGGTTACCTGGAAAACAACACGATGTTCGAAACTACAGAAATCGACAACCAGGTATAAATGCAAACTTCCATTTTTAGAGCTTTCACGTTCCTTTATTTTCTCCATAGCTTTAAAAGCCAGGCGATCCAGCCAATCAACACATTGGATCTGCCCCCTCTCATACCTATTCACTAGCTTCTCCAAGCGTTCCAACTCCCCGCGCTCATGCCTGGGGACCTACAAAAAAAATTAAACGAGGGATACATAAACAAAGCTAAACCAATTAAGGAAACTCAAGGAACAACGTTAAGGCCCCTATCTGTAACTGCTTAAAAAGAAACAATCAGAAACCTTTCCAGGAGTAGAAGTAGGAAACGACCCGTCTGCTACTTTTCCCTTCCAAAGCCTCAGCTTTTGCTTCCCAGTTTTGAGTTGCTTTTTGCTATTAAAAAGAAGAATTGTAGCACCACCAACCAACCCTTCATCCTTCCCACATGAAACATCCCAAACCTATAACTCCACCGAGAAAGAAGACATCGAAATCAATTGGAATCCTTAACTATTACTTTAATATACAAGGGATAGCAGAAAACCCAATTGTTTAAGATGTGAAGTGAAACAGGAAACATACTGTCAAAGCGAGTTGTGAGTGACCGGTTAAGTCTCGGTATTTCGTACTCAGAGTAATGAGTTCGTTCCAACAAAATAATGGCCCTGAAGATTCCAATCTAGCAGAAGATACAAAAATTCAAAATCTATAGAAACAGCATTGAGGCAATTGAACTAAGGAGAAACCAGTGAAGGGGAAAAGAACCTTGTCCTAGTCGGAAGCCCAAACGGAGCACCATCAATGTACAATGCGCACTCCACATACAGCTCTGGCCTTCTTTCTTCTGTTGCGGAAGTGGGGTCAACGTCTGCGGTGCGTAAAAGAAATTGAATTGAAGAACGTTGATTGAGTAAAATAATTTCTCGGGAACCAAACGGAAAATCGAGAGAGAACAAGTACCGGAGCTAGGGGACTTGGGGGGAGGCAGGGCTCCTTCTAGCCGTTCGATCCGGAAGGTTACTGGGAGGTTGATGTCGCAGGACAAGAAGAAGCGGAACTCGTTCCCGCTCATCGCTTCTAGGGTTTTAGGAGCTGTTCCTTCTCATAATTTAGGGTTTTGCGGTTGCGAATTGAGGGAGAAAATCGAATTCGAGTTGGGTGGAGGACGTGATTTTGAAGCAGAGTTTTCTGAATCGAGGTCGCGTGAGCAATGCGAACTCGGAGGAGTTTTTGCAGAGAGTACAGATTGGAGGAGGAACGTTGCCACGTCAGCTTGAAGCGGGCGGAGTTTTGGGTCGTTACTTTACTGGGCTTTCTTTTTAAAGTATGGTTCACTCCGAAGTTCATGCTCTCTTTTTTTCTTTTTCTTTTTCCTTATTTTGCATTATTTTTTTTATCTAATAATTAAAACTACAATTATTTTTTTTTGTCAAACGGTAGACTTTTTTAAATACGAATAGAAACGTTTACATCGCTAGAATATTAAATAAAAACTCCAGACCAAAGCATCCCAACGAAAAGCATCTTCATGTGAGACAACATATGAGACCACAGCGTGAACAACGGCATTTCCATCCCGCTTAACAAATAAAAACCTCACCCTTCCTAATTGAGATACCAACAACCCAATATCATTAATAAAGCACTCCAAAGTAGCATCAACCGCATATTCCCCATTAAGCATTCGAATGAGCATTTGAGAATCTGATTCAACCTCCACATCCTGACATCCCAACTCAATACGCACCAGCATCGCAGCACGTATTGCAACAGCTTCTGTCATTACCGTTGTACTGAAGATCAAAACTACATATTAATAGAACACGGTTTGTCAACCAAAAACAAACATAATTACTACTATACCCTTTTAATACAAAACTAAAAGAAGATATTAGAAAAGAAAATAATGTGGGCATTAAAGTAATTTTGTACAAACAAGTTTTTACTTCTATTTTTCTAAAGCTCACATCTATGTCACTTTATTACTACCCTTTCAACTCATTCACTCTCTTTCTCTTTCTCTCTTTTTCCTAACTGCCAACTCCTATTTTTCGAATGTCTGTCAATCTGTTAAAAACAAATCACTTATTTCATAAAAAATTTAAAATACAAATATTTTAAAAATATATTTCTCAACGCAGAGTGTGTGACCTTTGCTAGTATATTATGATTGTTGTTTTGCTTTTGAGCTTTTTTTTGGGAATGCAAATAAAGTTAATAAACTCAAGCTATCAGAGAGTTATGTTCTCCCCCTTTTATTTTCATTTTCGTCAATAAACACACAATTAAAAAAATTAGAAAGTATAAAATTTATTTTCTTTACTGATAAATCAAACATAGTAGATAAATGTATAAGGCTAGCTAGCATTCGAATCACCCAAAAATAAAACTGCAAGAGTAGTTCAAAATATCACCATAAAAACAGACTAAATGAGCAAGAGATTTGAACAAATTACTTTTCCGGAGCCCGAAAACCTAGTCAAACTCTACGTGAAAGGAGGCTTCTTATTAGATGACAAAGCAACTTACAAGTGAAATCAGCCATAAATCTATTCTCCTCTCCAACAACGTCTGAACTTCAAAACCAAACCATTTATCCGACAAGGGGTCCTAGTCTGCTGGGAAAGTGCTCAGCATTAAGGTCTCCTGGGAAACTTTGAGAAATCTGGACGTCTGCGCTGCATATAAGCCGTCTTCCCCTCGTTACCTTCCTCAGTGCCATAGAATAAGAGCGTGGCATCTCCAGCAAGTTGCTGCATTGGAAACATCGGTTAAGTAGTTAGCACATACGTATATGAATAAGACCGTGGCATCTCTAGAAATATGGTTGCTAACCCAAGGTACCTGCAGTCCAGCATGACCGTCGTCAACTGCATTAAGAGCAGACTTCAGCACCCGAAGCGCGGTTGGGCTGTTTCTTAGCATTTCTCGACACCATTTAACCGTTTCTTGCTCTAAAGTCTCCAGCTGGATAACCGAATAAAACAGTGAAAATGCTATCTTCTGCAAACTTTTAGTGATATAAGGCTAATTAATTTTCAAGGAAAATGTAATTTGTATTCAATTCATAGGCCATCCGATGAGATTTGTGTCGCATTGAGAGTGAACTTACTGGTACAACAGTGTTAACAAGTCCCATTTTCTCTGCTTCAGCAGCTGTGTAAAGCCTTGCCATAAACCACATTTCTCGTGCTTTTTTAGGCCCGACCTGACTGACCAAAACCATTCATTACACATACTAAGTTAGAGCAATATGAAGCAAGTATTTGCATAACACAAGTCAGACTTGAAACAATTCCTACCAAACGGGACATGATGGAACTCCCATAACCAGCGTCAAAGCTTCCAACCTGCAAATGTACAAGTTGCAAGGTTTCTGCATGTTAGCATGCTGCTCTCACCCATTCTTAGATTGAAGATGAAACGAAGATGAATGATTGACGGTGATTAAAAATCAAGTTCGAAAAGTTTAACCAGAATCAAGGTATATGACATGAGCACCTTAGGACCGGTCTGACCAAAAATAGCATTGTCTGCTGCAATGGTTAGATCACAGACCATGTGCAATACATGTCCTCCCCCAACAGCATAACCAGCCACCTGATAAACCATTTAACATGAACAACAGTTAGGAATGAGATCATACATTCCCTTATTTAGGGTGGTGGTAAAGCTTTCAACAACCAGAAACGTTTAAGTTTCGCAGCTCTCCAACTGTCCAACACCAAAGGCCTAAAGATGTTGAGAAGGGCATACCATGGCTATTACTGGCTTTGGAAGACGTCGAATCTGGACCTGAACATACCAATTTGAGATGATTTATATACCAGTCAGTAAGAACATTTATGTTACAGAATCGTATAAAGATATAAGCATCAATGTATATATATACCTGCAAATCTAACACATTAAGACGGCCAAAATCATCGTAATCAGAATAACCATCTTTTCCTCTCAAGGCCTGATCACCGCCACTGCAGAATGCTTTGGTTCCCTAAAAACACCAAATTCGCTGCAGATTAGTATGTTTCAATTCCCTCTTAATATTTTCTTATAGCTCAACTATCCGATTCAAAGTACTTGCTAATCAGTAATTTTTCGTTACAAATGTAACATTTTGTTGTTAAAAGTTGATTTCGTGCATTCCAGGTGACAGAAATAATGGAAATTTGTGACGGAGCTAAATTAATGTTAGGATATTGGCACGAATCAAAACCAAATTGAAAGTTCGGAGTGCAAAGCGAAAGAGGGAAAGGACGTACCTTCCCGGTAAGAATGACGACGCCTATGGAGCCGTCGTCCCTGGCATCATTAAACGCGCGAATCAGCTCCTTCACAGTCTGCGGCCGGAACGCATTTCTTCTATCCGGTCTATTAATCGTAACCTAAGCACAAAAATCAATAGATTTAGACACATCAAATCGCATTGATCTCTCAGTAATTAGGATTCATTAATCAAAACCAGCCTGAGGAGCCTGACCTTTGCAATGGCTTCGCCGACGGCTTTCTCGTATATAATATCAGTGAATTCATCGCCGGAAACGTCGCGAGCATTTTCCCAAATAACTCGGTGAGTCGAGACCTCGCCGTGGGTGCGGTGGTAGCTGTCGTTCATGGAGGCGTTGGAGAGAGAAATTGCGGCGGAGCCGGGAGATAAATGGGCCGGAATGAGGTGGTTGGCGATGGAGGCCACCCTCCTAGTCGCGGTGGTCATGACGTCCTTCTCTAGGCCTTCTGCCATTGAAGGAGAACTGGATAAGGATCAAAGCTTCGGACTTTGGAGGTTAAAGATGAGACATTTGGATTGGATAAGATATGGCGCGAACAGCGAAACGGTGCGTTTCTTCAATTTCTCATGCGGCGTCGTTTTTGGCGCCAAGCCCCTAGAGGTGAAATTGCCGTTGCAATTCGCAAGCATGTTGTGCGCATTCAGGATTTCAGTTTGCAGAAATCAAATCAGAATCCAAGGAAAGGACGAAAACGGTGCGTTTCCAGACTTCTTTTGATAGATTTCTTTGCATTTCATATGATTTATCAAATTGTAAGATTGTACTGATTGGATTTCATGCTTTAATCTGCTGGTTATTAAATGAACTGTTAATTAATCTTCTTATTTTGTGCTATCTGTAGTATGTGTCTTGAATACTGATCTGGATTTCAATTTCAATCCCTAATCTGTTAGAAATTCTGATGCCCGAGATATCTCTTGTGTCTACAACACTACTACAGGAAACTGAGAGATACAAGTGATGGTGTTGTACAAGGGGATGTATCTTGATCCCGAAGGACTAACATGAAACAAGTATCATGCGGAAAAGTTAAAACACCTGACGACGTGTGATAGATTAGGGATCCCAAATTGGCGAAGCATATGTTTCATGTAAGTCTCTCTTGTTAATTGTTTAGCCATTTGCTTATGTTGCTTGTACTTTTTTCATTACACAATGTTGAATTTGCTTGCTTTTGAAGCTGTGGAGTCACTAGAACGTAGACAATTCATGGAAGTTCTGTAATTATGTAATCTTGTATAACAGCAGGATATAAACGTAAGCCTCTAACAAAGATGACGAAGAATTCCTGTAAAACTAGGACTGCCAAATTATACACACACTATACCAATTACCAATTACCAATTACCAAATACGTTGATGGTGCGAAAGGGGTCAGGAAATCTTGCAGACCACACAAAGTGAATACACCATCATCATCAGATATACATATATAGATATATACTTAGTACTAAAAATCTCAACACGCATCATGATTTGAATTTATTTGGTTGCCTGATGGCTTGCCAAGCCGTAAACAACCAATGGGTGGGACTGTTGGGGTTCTCAACTCCCCAAACGTCTGCCAGCAGAAGGGGTTGTACAGGTGATACTTTTCTTGCAATGGCTTTAGCTGTATACCATTTAGTGTTACATCTACGCAGGGTAGGCTGTCACTACAGGCGAAGTGTACTGGTTTTACGGTGTAAGTTCCTCTTATTCTCTCGTAGGTGATCCCCGATAGAGCCACAGCTGATGTTTGGTTTTTGCATGTGGTTTTGTCACAGTAGAATTGGTCAATCACAATGGGGAGTTGAACTTCAGAAACTTGAATGTTTGAGAACAGCACTCCCTGAACAGACCCTGATCCACCCTGCACATTTAGGATTCAGTTATATGCGTAAAAGAAAATGGTAAATTGTCAAGCTTTAGTAACTATTTTGACGTGTCGGAAGAGCCCATAAAGAAGACGTTTTTTAAGGACTCATTTCTAGCATTACTGAGATAGTTTTTCAGTCGATATTTGAGTATTCGATGCAGAAGAGAGTTCTATGTTAAAGTTTAATAATCAGCAGGAAGGATGTGTTAAAAACTTTTAGGTGAATTCATACCTGCCATGTCTTGACTCTGACACCATTCATCGTGTTGTGCATCATGATGTCTCGAACGGTAATGTTTGAAACACATGCTTTCGTGTTGCCCTTTCCTAAACCTCCAATGCTGATTCCATGCCCTGGTCCACAGTTCACGTTGTGTATATATACATCCGAGCATCCAGTTTGTATGGAAATACAGTCATCTCCTGCACAAATCATAAGAATTGAAACGTTTAGTTGAATATTTATCCATTACAGTTATACTAATCGACTTGGTTTTAAGTCTCTGCCTATTTCATGCCTTATCCGTTGTTCGCAGTTACTGTGTAAATTTGATTCTTCAGTGTTAGTTCTTAGGAATCATTGTGATGTGAAGTGCCATGCTTGATACTTTTCCTTCTTATCCTTTATCCGTTGTATGTGGGCCGTTTTTAAGTTGAATTGGACAGAAGGGCAGGGGAGTTGAGTAGTGTTTCTAGCGTCCGATGATGACAAAATATCGATTGAGGCTTGGGTATACTACAAAACAAGAGTTGTTGCTGTCATGGGTTTGATACCTAATCCTAAATTTGGATAGACCACTGATGATTTAGGGTGTGAAATTCATCATCATAATAGGTTGCTATAATTCTTGGAATGTATCAGATTGCCTGTTGCTACATGTCAAATCTTTAGTGGTCCAGGATTGTCGATGGAAGATGCCAGTAAGTAAGGCTGCAGGCAGGATAAGATTGCTCATGGAATGATCCCCAAAGGTATTATAGTAAGTGTGGAATATGTGAGTCCGACACACCGCGCCGCAGTAACAGTAGATATTGAAGAGTAAGGTGTATAGTTACCGCAACCAAGAGTGGTGGAGTGGATGAGCACTCTTTGGGAGTTCTGGAGGTGAATTCCATCTGTGTTGGGACTGTCCCCAGGGGACGAGACGCTCATATCATGGACCAGCACTCCCTGGCAGTTGTCGAATTTGAGATGGCATTGGGGGCTATTCTGAATCGTTATGCCTGTAACCGTGACATTGAAACTCCCATAAAACCGCAGTGCCTGCACAATCAACAAAATACACAAAACCATGTTACTGAAACTGCAGGTCAAGATTCAAGATCACATAAGCTTCAAGGTTTTGGCACACAAGTGGTCCTTACAGTCGGTTTGATGCTTGGCATTTTCCCGCTCAGCTCGCTTCTTATCTGCCACAGATGTCAGCCACAGGATGCTGATTAGTTTAAGCTCGATGATCACGAAATTAACGTTCAAATCTGGTGTTAAAATTTAGTTTAGTTTAGTTTAATTACCGGCATTGGCGGGCGTTGTTGGAATGAGCTGTTTAGTGGCACAATGAGCTTGTAATCATCATCTATAGGGTCTCCATAGGGAGTGTCCTGCCACCAAGGAGAGCCTCTTCCATCAATCACTCCCTTTCCCTGTACTGTGATTCCGTTTAGCTTTGTAAATTCAAGCCATTGCAGCAGGCCATTGCCCCAGGATTTTGAGTCCGTCGGCGCTAGTATCGTGCCATCTAGCTGAAAATTTATAATTTCGTATATTAGACAAAAGACGGAAATCATAATAAGTGAATGATAACGTTGGTCGTCCACACAATGCGTACTGAATCCCATTAACCTTCTGGATTGAAGGAGTTATGTGAATTGTGCAATTACTTTTACTTTGATATTTTTTTTATTTTATTTTTGTGGTGTTTTTTAATTTTTACCACTCTGTTACCGTGTGTATATGTATTTTTACCTGAAATAAAATGTTTTTCTGGCAGTAAGGGCCGGAGAATGAGATGGGGCCCACAAGGAACTGATAACCGGCTGGAACAATAATGCTTGATGCCTCGACTTTACAAGCAGCGGCCCATGCAGCTTGGAATGCCTGCGTCACACCAGAACAAAACCCCCCCGTTAGATGTTATACAAACTACCGTATGTAAATTTTAACCGTAGAAAATACGGTTGGTGTTAATTTTCTGTGCAAAACAGTATACATTATTGTTGGAATCGTGACCCAACTGCCGTAACGAGAATAAAATTTGTTCAGTGGGCCCAATGGGCCCCACCAGTTTGGTTTGTTCTGTTGTCACTGCCATTTAACCCAGGCAGTTGATTAAATTTTGTTGAAATAAGATGCACCAAATTATGCCACGTAAGATCATTTTTAATTTTTAATTTACTTTTGACGTTCGAAATCCAACAATTCTCTTGACAGTTGGAACATGGGTGGCTTACTAGTGCAATGGCACAAGCCAAGGCAATTCTTGCAAAGGCAATTGTAGGGCACAAGCCCTTGGCCTAATTGCGTTCCATAGTTTGCATTAGTGGACCACCTTTTTTGGGGCCAAGGGCAATTCAATTGCCGTACCAATTAGATCATGGGTTGAGACGCTCTTAAATATTCTCCCATTGAGTTCAATCACTTTATTACAAGCGGTAATTATTAAATATTTTAGGTAAGTCAAAATTAAACTTAATTAACTAAACATTAAAACTAATTCAACTGACCACAATACTTTAACTATAATTTAGGTAAAATTACCAAATAACCCAACCCAACCCTTTAAGAAATCAAGTGCAAGTGATCCAAAAAGGCCAAAAGGCAAAAAGGCAAAAGTTTGCCAAAATAACTATTTTGTTTCTCTCAATGGTTAAGTGACTACCGTTCATTTATGCTACAGCTAGGAGCATGTTGGAATTCCTTGTCATTTACATGGAAATATCATGAGCTAAATTAGCGCAAAATACTTAACTTTTACATGTTTTTTCTCGTTGTTCTGTTAGTAGTCACTTTATTATACATGTTAATTTATGATTTGCAGCTAATGAGAATCGACTCCATAACTGTAAGAAGCCAAACAGGGTACAAAGCTAGCAACATTATTAATCAAAGCTCAAATTATGAAGATATCTTTTTTAACCCTTGACCATGATTGATTAGTTCTTAATTGACTACGGAGTAAAATTATGATGAGCTTAAACAAACTACAAACCTTTGTGTCGTCGGTATCGCCGTTACCCTTAGCACCAAAATCTAGCACATTATAAGTGGAGGGACCCTTCTGTGGTGGTGGTGGAGCTTTATATTGAGGTGGCGATGGTGCCTTGTTATGAGGTGGAGGCTGTGCCTTGTTACGAGGTGGAGATGGTGCCTTTTTATGGGATGGGGGCTTGGGTTTTGATCCACTACCGCTGTGGTAGTGGCCGCCGCCGCTGCCGCCGTGGTTGCTTTTTCCTTTTTTCTTTGAAAGAGAAGCAAAGGATGCCCTGCTTTGCCTCCAATGCCGGCCTCTTCTGCCCATGCAAGCGTCGAAATTCGACGACCAAACCAGAATTGCAATTACTAGCATGAATGTGATGCTTCTGAAACTGAACTCACTCATTTCTGCACAATGTGGGGTTGTGGATGAGAGAGAGAGAGAGAGAGAGAGAGAGAGAGAGAGAGAGAGAGAGAGAGAGAGAGAGAGAGGGAGAGAGAGTTGTGTGAGAGGACTGGTTTAGTTTAGATATAAAAAAGATGTGGTGGCTGTGTTTATATAGAATTGGAGCATGCAAACAGATGGAGACAAACATGCATAAGCTCTAATTTGATAATTCTAGGAATTTATAAATTTATTAATTTCATTCTCATTTTTATTTCCTTTTGTTCTTTTATTAATTATCATGTTTTCTTTTTTGTGAATTATAGTTGGTATAAAATTATAGTTGGAATTTTGTTTTGCCTCACATGCCAAATATTGCAGCTCTTTGTTGCAACTCATTCAATTTCCTAATGCTTATGTGAACACATGTTCCATTTAAATACTCCTTGTTCAAATCTTAATTAATTAGTCGTAATGAGCAAACCATGGATGTTAATTTGGATGTTAATTTGTTTCTTTATAGCACGTGTATTTTTGTTAATACCGTATCGTAGATCTGTAATATATCAATTGAGTTGAGCATTTATTTCAATCATGTTTTTTCCACTGTATTTTCTTTTAGTGTTTTTCTATTTGCAAGACTATATTTTATTATAAACCATTTTAACTTATAGCGTGGAGATAATAGATGTGAACTCACCAACGGAAACACTAACCTAACTAACTAGCTTAACCTGCATATGCATAGCCCTATAGAGTTAAGGGGTAGTAAAATATTTAAGAAATAGTAGATGTAAACTCAAATATAAGACGACGGCAACAGAAATACTGACTCAACCAACTAGCTTAATCTCCATATGCATAGCCATATAGAGTTAAGGGGTAGTAAAATATTTAAGAAAAAATAGATGTGAACTCAAATATAAGACTACAACAACGAAAACACTAACTTAACTAACTTAACTTGCATATGCATAGCTCTATAGAGTTAAGGGTAGTAAAATATTTAAGAAAAATATATGTGAATTCAAATATAAGACGACGACGACAAAACACTGACTTAACCAACTAGTTTAATCTACGTATGAATACACTGACTTAACCAAATAGTTTAATCTACGTATGAATAGCCCTATAGAGTTCAGGGGCAGTAAAATATTAACCTAACAGAGGGAGTGGGGGATTCAAAAGGCAAAGGACACACGTGAGTGGGAAATAGGTGTCGAGGCCCGGCACTGATTATAACAGCACTTTATGATCACATGCAACCTTCACGGGCTCTTTCGGTCTCTCCTCTCTGATTTGTCCTCTTGACTTGCACCCAGGCTAAGGATTTTGCTGTTACAAATTTCTCTATAATTTCATTTTTTTTAATTTAATTTAGTTAAAAGTGTTGGATGGGGTGTTTGCCTGCACTTTTCTCATATTTTTATATAATCAAAATTATTTAATCCGAGAAGGATTTAATTAAATCCCGACACTTCCGTAGTTCTTTAACAACTGATAATATTAATTAGTAAGATTTCACTTCGAGAATTCAGACCATATGAAATACTCATCACTTACAATATAATAACAATTAGGCATAATAATAGTTGATTTTTTCGGTGATTTGCGTGTTTTTTACTAGAAATAGAATTTTGAGACTTATTTGTGAAAGAATCCTTAACTTTAGGCATATAAGTTGAGAAATAATGTAAAACCCAGTGCGCCCATAGTTTTGCCTTTTCCGTTTATACGGAATTCTGAAGGAAGAACAAAAGAGTACTAGAATCCAGTTTGTACGACCATTATTGGGTAATAATCTGTCAACTTACAGTGGATTGAGATCCTTTCCGGATCTTACACTCTATAGGCCACCGACCGAAAAATTTGAACTGTTCAAGAGAAAGAGAAATATGGGCGTTTGATAGAGAAATTGTGTGAAATTGACCAGTGAGATATGCTAATGTGGATCGCAGAATTTAAATTGAACAATCTAGATTTCTTGGTACGTGGACTCTGAAGTATAAAATCCGGAGAGGATTTCAATCCGTTTCTTTCAAGTCATGCTCAATACTTGCGATGACAATGAGTTTGAGAGACGGATAATAAAGATTACGTAAAATTAAAATAGTAAGAAAGATTTGGTGTTTAACTTAATATTAAAACTAATTGGGGTTTAGAAACATTATCAGCTTCGATAAATGATCAGATTACTACTGTACATGTGCGCTGGAAGTCTTTGGAATAATATTATTAATTATTATTCTAGGAAACTGCAGTATCGTTGGTGAACTTTGATTCGTCGCCCACAATTACGGAAAGACAGATTTGAACTTAATTAATTCCAAGAAAACGATGGGAATGCAGTTGGAATGTGGGAACAAAACATTATGGTGATATATATAAATATATATTTCTGTTTCTGTTAGTTTCGGTTGAATTATTTTAGTTGTTGTGTGTCTCATATATATCATCAGATAGAGCTAGCTAGCTATAGCAATTGAGGAAAAACACGAGGCCATGAACGTCCCCACGTTTGTTATACTCATATCCGTGGCTATGATGAATTTACAGAGATGCCAGAGCCGAGAAGCTGTTAGCAGTAACATGCACACCTCAATTTCATCACCCACAACTCCTTGACCTCTTCTTCCTTGCCCGTCCCTTTCCCCATTTTCCTCCAAAATTGCTCTCCCCCCTCTCTCATACATTATGCTTTCCTTGCTGGAATTTATCGGTACCCAAAAAAAATGATAGGATAAGAAGAACGACGAATGACTTGTGTGATTTATTCTCTTTCGTACTCTTGTCTTTTTAAACAAGCGATGTTGCCGAAGAGGAAATTTGAGTTCAGGAGTTGCAAAGGTAATTAAGTATTATTAACCACCTAAGTTACCATTCCGTGACGTTTACTAAAACAGAAATAATAACCAATTATGAAAAGAAACAAGATTTGTATAATTTGTGATCATCTTGTAGCGTTATTTGCACAGAACCGTTAAAATTGTTTTGTTGTCATGCACATTTTTCCTTTTGTCCTCGACAAATATTAATTGATCTTTGCACCCAAAACTACATTACTCTTAATTTGTTGGAAGAGGAACCTCTCCGGATCTACTTTGTGGGATCCCCACATCCTAGTCGTTCGTCATATATGGTGCAATCAGTTTTTGTCAAGTATTATAGTATTTGTGTTTAATTTTAAATAAAAAAAATCAAAAAAAATCAAAAAAATTCCGACCGCACGATGCATAATGAATGATTAAGATGTGAGGATCCTTAGGATTCCCACAATTTAGATCCGGATGAGATTCAAATCCTAATTTGTTGGCTGCAGTGCGGGTGTATGCATATCCATGCATATATACACACACAAACATATAATCCCATAATAATCAAACAAAGAGTATATACGTCAAACGTCAAATGAATCCCGATAACTGAGCAAACTATTTTAATTATTGTATTATGTATATGTTTCTTACACATAATCAGAAACGACAAACATGATAAGTACACAGAATTCAAATATATATATGTTACGTATCTTCATTTTTTAATCCCATTTTTTGGCTGGGTTTGCATGCTTGGCAATATATATATTATTTTGTTTTAATTTGTTACACAACTATGAGTGAATAAGATATAGACACTGGAAAGTAAAGGGGAAAAGATCGGTATGTGCAATGAGAGTTTTTTTAGTATGTCGAGAACACGGTCGGATACACTAAATGTCATAATACAAGTGGTTAAATATTTAAAAAAAAATTACAACCACATGTGTTATGACACTCGGTGTACTATACCTGTTTTTTTTTATGACAAATGATAAATTTATTAGATTAGATGTTAAATTAATCACCGATAAAATTCGAACCAATATCATCATACAATAACTCAACCCTTTCTACCATGTGGAAAAGAGCTACTTGCAGTGTACTAAACCTGTTCCCGGCACATCAATTTTTTTTTCACACACGACCTTCTTGATTAGCCGTCATTTAGTGCTTACATTAAATTTCATGCTCTCGTGAACTTTGAGTTCTCTTGTGATCAGCTCCATCTCCACGCGCAGCCCCTGCCATCGATGATTAGGGTTTCTTTCCGTCTCTTCCATTAATTATTAATTGGAGAAAATGTTTTGCTCACTCACCAACGCATAAAAGATTTCATGCATTAACTGCCACGTGACAATTTTCATGGAACACCTAATTAAATCATCTTCACCCAAGGAGTAGTTCAAACCTTTATAATGTAGTAACTCTTTTTGGTAAAATAGCTAAAATGATGAAAATACAAAATTTAGAAGAATTTTATGCTTTCATTATATATCGTCAAATACTTGATCGATTATATTTTAAATATTTGATCAATATATCATTGTTAGTTAACTTTATCATTTTAACATAAGAATTTGTAAAAACTTCATTTCAACAGATTTTTTTTTTTTTTTGCCCTCGTGACTTAAAAGACAAATAATTATGAGAGAAAAAAGCACTTTGGCATCACCTAAATTATGTTATGCTGGCCGCTGAAACTCGGAAGCTTCATGTTTGATTCCATATTTTGGAGCTGGTGGGTTTAGCAGGGCAATGGTACTAATGTACATTTTACAAGCACTAATCAGTGTTAATACAGTTAATCATGATATAAAAGATAGATAAATATGATTGTTAAAAAAGGGGAAAAAAACCATATGATTCTCTGTCTCTGTACAAACTTCAACATCAGTACATCACCATCGAAATTACATGCTAGTTGCACAATGTGCAACAGTAATCGAATAGGTCCAACAAATAGCAATCACCAGATTGAAATTAACTTGTAAGCAAAGGGTCACGGATCTTTCTAATTTTTGGAGCTAGCTATAGCCAGCTCTACCTGTATATATATTATATGAAATTAAGATAATATTAATTAATTAGATCATTGCATTAGATCTAAACTTCCCCCATTGGGGTTTTTAGTTTTCTCGTTGTTGACATGTTGCTGCCAGGCCGGTAGGCCCTGCTGAATGCTGATGATGTTATGGTTATGGATGGCCGGCATTGTTAAGCATGTGAATTATATTTCCAGTATGGAAAAGCTCTTTTATTTGCTATGTTATGTTGATAATGAATCTCACGTCGAGAAAAATAAAGAACATTGTATGTGCTTATAAGTGGTTTGGCTATTTTATATATTGTCAATTGATTTTATGGTTTCACCTCAACTTTTTTCGTGGTATCAGAACAACTTGTCCCATGTGTATAGCTCAATGGCCACACGTGTTTCACGTCGCCCAATTTGTTTGTCCACATGTTAGGCTTGAAAATTCGCCACACGTGAGGGAGCATGTTAAGAATGAATCCACATCGGAGAAATGAGAGACCTTGCATATGCTTATAAGTAGTTTGTCTACTTCCCGTATTACCAAGTAGTTTTATGATGAAACCTCAACTTTCTCCATGTCTATAATCTCAATAGATTCTTAAATTATTTACAGAAGACAAAAGTGCTTTTGTTTCTACCTCTTTGTAATTTGTATACCTTTGAAACCCTCAGTTTAATAATGATGGCCTACGAAAAAAGAAAAAAAAAGGGCCTTATTCTAGCCACAATCACGGATCGATTTGGAGAGCCCCTGATGAAGTTCACCCCAATTGCCATTGTTTCTTGGGAACTTTAACGAAAAGCTCCTGGTACTATTCATTTTAACGAAAAACCATATTTTTACACTAAAAAGTCGATCATGTTACTATTCACTTTACCCTTTATTTTGTTCTTATCATTAAAACTCAAAGTTTTTAAACCTTTTTCATTAGTTTTCCTTTGTTTCTTTGGGACAAGACACCAGAGACTTTTCTATGTTGCTTCTTCTCCCTCTCTGACTTAGCTTCTAATGCATGTATGCCAAGCCACATTACCCTTAAGCAAATGCACGATTTATTGTACTCGTGTAATCGTAAATACATAAGATATGTATATATGTTTCCTAGTTAAACTTAGACTATATGGATTTAAACCACTTAAACATTTGAATAAGAATTAACAAGATAATATCGTAAGGAAATACTTTTCACATACGATTTTTTTTTTCTCATTTTGTATATGCTTATTTATTTGTGTTCATTGATTCTCCCATGATGATATAATTCAAAAATTATAAATAAACATGTGTATGCATGAGGAAAAATATGGGTGTTCGGTCTGCTTGCAAATTGGGTTGTGATAATGATAGTGAACAGTGGACTACTATGCATGCACATGCAAGGTTCTAAAAGATGTTAGGTGCTAGGCGCTAGTCGGGCGGCGAGCTGGAGCTTAACGCCTAGGCGGCTAGGCGGGGTATAGGCGGACTAGGCATATTTAACTAAATCCATTATATTTCATGTAAATAAGTGTATGTTTATACTTAATATATATATATATATATATATATATATAATTTCATCATAAACTACAAAATAGAATGACATATATATTATGAAGTATTGGAACATAATGAAATCATGGGAAACAAGCATATTATATGTGCTCATTTAAGTATTCGACAAGTTTCTTACAATTTATTTTAAAAAATAAAATACAAAACGAAAGTTATTTATTTTCTGCCTAAGTAAGTTGCAACTTAGGCGGGTGCCTAAACGGTCTAGGCGGGGCCTCAGCAGGTATATGCACCATTTCTTAATTTTCAAACGACTATGCATTAATCAAGGCGATGACCAGCCGTCCGCCTAGACGGGGATTTTTAGAATAGTGTGCACATGTGCATTCCTGTTGTGTAATCTGGAAATGCATCATAATTCAGGCATGCCGCAAGTGTAATCAAATTTCTGTTAACTTGTAACCAAAACATGATCGCAGTTGACTTTACTGTGCGGTCAATGAGCATGCATGGTATGGTTTTGCTGCTTTCGGCAATTCCAGTATCTCATTATTGCATTCATAAATGGCAACAATGCGAGTAGAAATTATAAAAATTTAACAAAAAAATCGTGCGTCTATTGTTTCTTGATCCATCTTGCAAATTCCAGTGGTGCGGGTCAATGGATATGAAAACTGTGAACCTAATAAATATAGGAGCCTTTTTAAGTAAAGATTTCGGTATATTGCAACGAAATTGAAACAATATATAGAATCTTCGCAATAATCTGAATAAACTTTACATGCTCTGCGTGGTTCATCACTAGGATCCTATCATTCAACGGAATCATGTTCCGGCCATATAGAATTCTCATATTCTGAAATAGAAAAAAATAGGAACATAAGATGTTTTATACCGTGACATATTCTCTATGATCGATTATCCTATACTTCATAGTTCTATACATAAAATATATGCACATGCATATTTGTTGTTTTGTACTAGGTGGCCATTTCTCGTGACTACTAAAATTGCAGAGTTGTCAGTGTTTTAAATCTAGTATTACATTTTTCAAAACCCTAACCCTAAGCTATAGATACAGCCTATATATATACTTATAAATTTTGTTGCAACCCTAGCCAGTGTGATATGCCCTAACATTATCTGATGGACCCAACTCTCCCTAGTGAGGAGGACCAACCAAACGAATATATATGAAATCAAAACAATTTATCCGATTTATCACAGATATAGACACAACACACCCACTGGCTACTAACTAGTAGTAGATATTACAAATTAGTCATGCATCTTCTTCTTGGTGGCCCCCTTTCATCCACATTTGAATTTTCGGTTCCTTTTGTGTGTCTCATCATCCTGCATAATTTAGTTCCAATCCCATCCAAGCACAAGATGCTACAAAAAAAAAAAAAAAAAAAAAAAAGTCATGGGCCATTGCCTTTTTATTTTAGTTTGACTCACGTTTTGTTTAATGCGCGTGTGAATAGATTCTTTTTTACGGTGTATAGTTTAACTTTGGTGAATGAAATTCAATTTAGATGCTCACACTTGTTGTTGTGTGAGAGTGCGGGACGTGAAAAAAAGTAGGTGTGGATTACGAAAAACAAAAATACAACAACAATCAAACCTTATCTCACTAAAGTCGGGTATATGAAATCCTAGAAACTATTGCGTAAGGTTTTGCGTCAAGTCTTTCATTTGTTCTAAGTACTTCATATCTTTTGTTATAATCTCTTTTAAAATCTTCTTAGGTATTCCTCTACCATTTTACCCTGAGTCTCCGTCTCATAATCGCAAAAAATGAAAAAGGGAAAAAGAAAAGAACACAGTTTAGAATTGCTTGCTTTTCTTCAAACAGTCCCATACGACACCTAATTTTATAAAATTTAATCAAATCTGTCGGCTGATTAACAAATACAGGCATCTGTCAGTTAGCAAGCAGAATAATCCCAAAACTTTCATCGACCAGTCAGTGATTCTTTACTGTACACAGCTTCTATTTTTCATGTTCCATTGCTGCAGAACAAGCTTTTGGTTGTAGTTGTTGGGTTCTGAATGTCATCTTGCCAAATAACAAATCAGAATTTCTGTTGGACCGGGTTCGAATATCCCAGTGGTCCTCAATCGTCCTTCTCTGCAAACTAATTATGGGAACTTTAACGAAAAGTTTTCGGTACCGTTTACTTTAACGAAAAACCATATTTTCACACTAAAAAGTCAATTCTGATACTATTTACTTTATCCTTATCGTTAAAACTCAAAGTTTTCAAACCATTTTCATTAGTTTTCTATTAATTTTCTAGTTGTCCCTATTCCAAATACGAAACGCATTTCATAGTTCATACCATTTCTGAATATAGTAATGATAATGGGCAAGGCTCTCGGATCGGTTCATCCTATATCGCTTAGATTTAAGTATTTAATATCAATAAATAAGATCAAAGTCGAAAAAATAAAGAATGGAAGTGCGGTTTTTTCAATGCGTCAATGTCTTAGAAAAAACAAAAATCCATCCTGCATCGAGAATTTCATTTCAAAAACTTGACGGGCGTAGTAGGAAATCATTCTTTATAATAATCATCTGCAGTGATCAGTTTCATAACTATAATTCGTCTACATAGTAATATTCTCCGCAACTGCCCCTTAAACCTCCCTCCAAGATTCCTTTACATTGCTAGAGAGCACTCTACAAGCTCATTAACCCTGTTCCGTATACTGTCAAACAGTTATTTAGTTATGTGCATATAGGGAGCCAAATCAGAGCTCCGTGTGCACAATATCCGCCCTAGTGAGATCTGCGAGCTCAGCTTCAGAGGTCTGATCGGTGATTGTAGAGTCTTTGTCATGGGAATTCAGACAATCTGCTGAGGGATGCACAATGCCATACCCGAAGCCTTGCGCAGAGTTGCAGTATGTTTCCACTTGGCCGTCCTCCCTCTCTAAGTTGACGTCAGTCAGGACTATGTTGCTGCATGGAACTGTGTCACTGCACGCAAATTTCATGGCCTTCGCACTCTTTGTGGTTCCAGAAATGTTCATGTACATGACTTGGGTTATTTCCACCGCTGATGTCTGAAATGTAAGGACAAAGAAAAGCAACATAATCACAATTAACAGAAATTTGACGGGGTTTTGGTTATGATTGATTTACGTGAAGAGTTCGGGAGTTTATAAGATGATCAGAGTCAAATGGCTGAGAACTCAGTGGTGCAGGAAAGCAGAAATTTAGAGCATTACCAGATTTTGACAAGGTTTGGGGGAATCGCAGTAAAACTGATCTATGATTATCGGGTTTGATACATTTTCCATCCTCACATTCTGAAAACGGATACCACGTACATAACCAGAACCACCCTATATACCCAAATGCCACAAAGCGAATGTTACCGTAGGGGATCCATCAATAACCCGAAAAATAAAATAAAAAAATCTAATTAATAGATTAAAAACCTGCCAAGTCTTAATCCTGAGGCCATTGGTCGTCTCCCTGAGGTATGCCGTATCCAAGACCACTTTTGTGACCATGTCAGTGGAGTTGCCCTTCCCAAGACTTCCGATGCTAAGTAACAGAATGTCATGCCAATAAAGGTAATGAGAATAACAATTTTCAGTTTCATTTACTTGCACCTTGAACGATGACTGACTAATTTGAGCCTGCTATGTATCTCTTTTGGGAGGACATGACTACATGAGACACAACTGCAGCATTAGTCTACAACAAAAGTAGATGATACCTGATTCCATGTCCTGGTCCGCAAAAGATTCTCTTCATCTTAATTCCGGAGGTACCACTGACAATTGAGACGCAATCATCCCCTGAATCAACAGGAAACACGATGTGTCATGTGATTGACTGATTGAGTGCCTTTCAAGTGTAATCTATTGTTTCTTTCGTACCCAATCAAATGTTATTTTATGATATTCTTTCTTCATATCACCAATTTGATCGTTTCCATTCCAGTTCCTACTTTTGAGTTATGAAAAGTGATCTGAGAAATGATATTGAAGAAAGTTTGAGAACCTGTTCCAATTTTGCAGTCTTGGAGAACCACATTAGTAGATGCTGTGATATGGATTCCATCAGTGTTGGGACTATCTCCTGGAGCCGAGACTAGCACTGCATCAACTCGCACCGCGTCACAATGAGAGATGACAAAATTCATCTGTTGGGCGTTCTTGATGGTGATGCCTTTTACCTTTATAGCTGAGCTTTTATCAATAGTAAATGCCTGCAAATAAAAACCCAACTTAAATTCTATCCGGTGATCATCCTGATCCATGTCATTTAAATAAACTCATTTTTGGATCGGAGGGAAAAGTACATACTGTTGGTGCCCCTCTGCAAGGCTGTAGAGAAAAAAAGAAACAGAGATAAATCAATATGAACTTGTAAATGGTCTGGATTTAAGTATTTGGATACAGTAGAAATGATAAAACGCGAAGATATACATTTGTCTTGTTCTTTTTGCAGGATGCGGCCCACCATTTACTGCCTGAGCCGTCAATAACGCCATTCCCTTGGAAAAGAACTCCAGTCAATTTAGTGAAATCAAGCCATGTTCGTGGAAATCTCGGATCCCAGTTATTAGGCTCATCTGGAGCTACTATAGTTCCTTCAATCTGTGCATCAGTCGTACCATTTACAAACATGAACATTTCATATTTTCATACCATTGCAAAGAGATGGAATATAAAGAGTTATCATTGATGATTAGAACGAAGATGGATTATAAGGATCTAACTTTACTAAAATCAAGAAAGGTTTTACCTGGATGATTAGGTTATCCGCGCATGGCCCTTGAAATTTTGTAGCATTCACTAGATACTGGTGTCCTTGGGGTACCAAGAAAACTGCATTTGTTGTATTGCAAGCGATACCCCAGGCTTTCTGGAAAGCCTAAGAATAATGGCATTGTAAAGGGATTAAATGTCAACAATTATGGCAAACGGTTCGGGTAAATGATTTTTCGTGGTTAAAATTGGCAAAGTTCAGACATGATAGAGCTGTGAAGCGTCATGTCCTTTTTCCAATAAATTAACTGCTGATCACAATATGTTGTATAATATTCATTCAGTTTATTGGTATCAAAAGTTGAGTATCAATATTTTGGCAAAATCTAGTATTTAAAAGTGGGTCTAATTGTTCAAGAAATGAGGCGCATTTGAATGACAAAAAAAAAGTGACCAAATATACAACCGTGTATGCTCACCTGAGTATCATCAGAAACTCCATCTCCAACTGCACCAAAGCTATCCACGTTAACAAGAATCTTGCAACCTCGTTCACTTTTCCATGTCGGAATGTCAAAAACATCCAGCTCGCTGTCTTCTTGTATGTGAAAACTTTCAAGCTCATGGAGCATGCAACTGCTGTCAGACACCAAGTTTCCTGCAACTCCAAAAACTGCTATCAGCATACCAAAACCGAAAACCGCAGGGAATTTATCCATGCTTGTCTTTTTTTTTTTTTTTTTTTTTTTTTTTTTTTGGCAAGATTGATCGATTCGTATAACTTCAATGAACAATGGGTTACCATTTATACGTACAGATTAGTTTAAGAATTACCAAGGGTTTTCTGGGATAAAATGGCTTGGCTTGGAAGTAGATGAAGATGTTACATTTTCTACAAGCCCACACTTAAAGCAAGGGAAAATCTTTGTTGCTTGCTTTACTCTAAAATCAGTGAACAAAAATGCACCAGTAATAGGGGTTTCAGTGTGAGGCATCTGTTTCAGGATAAAAGGCAAGTAAAGATATATCAGCAAAGTGCAATACTTTCTGGAAAAATCGAATTTCAAGGATTTTTAAGGACAATTTGAATATTTAAAAATTGAAATAAAATGATTGGATGTACAGTTGCAGTGCCGTACAACAAAATCTAAAATTATTTTTCTTGTAAGAAAAGCAAAAGAAAAGGTCAACGAGTTAGTTAGACCAAAAATAGAAAAACACAATAGTAACAGACTAACAGTAACCCTATTGAGAAGATGTAAACCTCATAAGCAGGGGCCAGCTAGGTGAAAATTTAGCTGAAAGCATCATGCGGTGGAGAAAATTTAGCTGTAAACCCAAGAGGTCACACTTAGTGCGATGGCAAGTGCCTTCGCCCATGAGCGGTAGGTCTTGGGTTCGAGACTTGGGAGCAGCCTCTCCATAAAATGGGGGTAAGGCTAGCCGACATTCACCTCTCCCAGACATTGCGTAAGGCGGGAGCCTTGTGCACTGGGTACGACGACCATCATGCGGTGGAGAGAATTCCGATGAGACTGCTTGATTAGGACAATTCTCACACAAAGTGGGATCGCGTGGGACTGAGTGGAGTCAAGTGGGATTAAAATACAAGGGATCCCGTGTTTCTATGAGAGGTGGTCAACGGAACCCCTACCTAAGATTTTCTCCATTCAGTGTAACAGTGGGTTCAATGAAGAATCCGATCAGGTGGTTTCATCATTTCAAAATGCTAGCAGTGATGGTGACTGTTTACCTCGACCAATGAAGAATTACAACACTCCAGCGTTTGCTCATGAACACTTTCATAAATAGACACTGAACTTTCCAATGTCACCGCATTTCCCGTACATATATATTAGAGCAGATTGAACATAAACATTCCCACCGTGACCAAAACCCAACTTCACAACATAAGAGTGCATCTGCTTTACAAGTTCAAAATTCTCAGTCCAACTAGCTAAATTCAAAAACCCTACAAACAAAGTTAACAAACCGATCGATGGCCTCTTCTCCCAAAACTGCATCTCAGCAAATAACTCAAGCGCATCAAGTGGTAAACCATTTTCGGTGTAGACCTTCTTCGGAATAGCTTCAAATGCTTCTGTTGCATCAATCAAGCTCCCACAAGCAGAGTATAAATCCACCAGAGCATTGGCAACGAATGTATTTGATTCCACCCATCCGTCCTTAACAATGCGGCAATGCAGCTGCTTTCCTGCTTCCAAAAGCCTCCCACTACAACTTCCGAGGATCAAATAACAGTAAGTAAGCGCATTTGGATCCACACCATCTAATTCCATCCTGGAAAACACACCAGATAGCTCATCCACCCGACACAACACACAAAACCCACGTAACTGTTGTGCTAAGATAGCACCAAACCCGTTGGAACCAACTCAAGCTAACCCACAGGAAATTTACCAAATGAAAATGCAAGAACAAATATTAAAGACACCAAGATTTTAACGAGGTTCCTCAACAGTCAGTGTAACTGGAGTACGTCCTCGGAGCAGTATGAGCTCACCCAATAATCCACTATCAACCAAATGGGAGTTTACAAAGTGTTGGCAATCTCACAACCCAAATAACCCAATACACCCAATAACTCTCACACTCTAAAGAAACAAATAGAGAAAGAAATATAGTGATTAATTTCTTCTCTATACAAAGCTCATAGTTATTACAACAATAACACTTTGATGGAGTGAGAACTATCCAATGAAAGGAACAACAACTCCTTCTCTCAAAATGGTACTGCATCAGTACCTTCTTTCTCTCCCTCTCTTCTCTTCGGCTCACCAATTTTTCTGCTCTCTTAAAAAAACAAAAGGGCAGCAGCTCCCTCATCATAACATAGCCTTCATTCAAGTCACCCCGTGACTTCCCATGGACCAAGAAAACTTTAGACAAATATCCCTTTTCTTTTCCCCAAAATAAGGAAGAGACATAATTATTTTGTCTACCTTTTTCTTTATAATTTTTTATAGTCAAAAGTTGGCCACTTGGCCACATACTCCAACAATCTCCACTTTGGCCAAGTTTCGAAAAACGCCATGATAAGCCAACCAACACAATTAACACAAACATCACTCACAAACACTAGCAAGAGAACAACTCATGCCGAGCCAAATGCTCCAAAACTCCTACTGCTCAACGCCTTCTTTATATAGGCAAAATGTGAGCCAAGTTCAAACAGTGAACAAACTTGGCTACACCAACAACCTTAGTCAACATATCAGCGGGGTTGTCTTTAGTTGGAATCTTCTGGAGAATGATTTCCCCCTCACCAACAATTTCACGAACAAAGTGATAACGCACATCTATGTGCTTGGTCCTCGCATGATGAACCTGATACTTAGCCAAATAAATGGCACTCTGACTATCACAATGTACCTCCACCTGCTTCTGATCAACCCCCAAATCTCTAATCAGCCCATGTATCCAAATGGCCTCCTTTATAGTTTCAGCAACTGCCATATATTCAGCCTCTGTAGTAGACAAGGCAACAGACGACTGCAAAATGGACCTCCAACAAACTGGTCATTTAGCCATAGTAAACACATAGCCTGTAGTTGACCTCCTTCCATCCAGATCACCTGCATAATCTGAATCAACATAACCAACTGCAAAATGACCAATACCAGAGTCATCTCTCTCAAAGCATAAACCAACATCTCGAGTACCATGGAGATATCTCAATATCCACTTAGCTGCTTGCCAGTGCTCTTTACCTGGATTATGCATATATCGACTCACCATGCCAACTGCATGAGCAATATCCGGTCTAGAGCATACCATTGCATACATCAAACTACCAACCAAATTTGCATATGGTATATTTTTCATTTGCAGCTTCTCTTTATCATTTTTAGGACATTGTAGAGAACTCAATTTAAAATGAGGAGCCAAAGGGGTACTAACCGGTTTGGTTGAATCATAAACTCCAAACTTCCGAATCAACTTCTCAAGGTATTGTCTTTGATTCAAACTGACCAAACCCTTCTCTCTATCTCTAGTGATCTCCATGCCAATGATCTTCTTCGCTTCACCAAGATCCTTCATCTCAAACTCATTCTTCATTTGCTTCTTCAATTTTTCAATCTCTTCAACATTCTTTGAGGCAATCAACATATCATCAACATATATCAACAAATAAATGAAAGACTCATCTTGCAACTTCTTGAAGTACACACAATGATCATATTGACTTCTAGAATAATTTTGGCCTCTCATAAATTTATCAAACCTCAAATACCATTGCCTTGGAGATTGCTTCAAGCCATAAAGTGATTTCTTCAATTTGCAAAACAAATTCTCCTTCCCTTTCACTATATACCCATCCGGTTGACACATATAAATCTCTTCATTCAAATCACCATGTAGGAAAGCCGTCTTCACATCGAGTTGCACAAGCTCAAGATCATATTGTGCAACAAGAGCTAACATAATACGAATTGAGGAGTGCTTCACAACCGGAGAAAAGATTTCATTGTAGTCAATGCCCTCCTTTTGTGCATACCCTTTAGCAACTAATCTTGCTTTAAATCTCACATTGCTTTTCTCATCAGCATCTTCCTTCTTGGCATACACCCATTTGCAACCGATAGCTTTCTTGCCCTTAGGCAATTTAGCTAACTCCCAAGTCTTGTTCTTCAAGAGAGAATTCATCTCATCACCCATGGCATTGCACCACCTCTTCTTCTCCTCACTCTCAATGGCTTCCTCGAAATTAGATGGAATCTCATCAGTGATAATAGGAAGAGCAAAAGAAACATAGTCACTATACCGAGCTGGCTTGGTAATTTGTCTCTTTCCTCTATTCTTGGCAATAGACTCTTAAGGTGAAACTTGCTCTTCAACTTGAATAGAATCTTCAAGTTCAACTTCTTCAACATCCTCATGGTCTCCAACTTCTTCACTTGTAGTGGCTTCGACATCAGCGGAAATAGGATTTGAAGTACCAGAGGCAACTTTCTCAAGCTCCACCTGTTGGACATCTTTCACATTCTTCTCAGAGACTTTGTACATACTTTCTTCATCAAATGTCACATCTCTGCTGATTACAAGTTTTTTCATCTCTGGGCACCACAACCTGTAACCTTTGACACCACTACTAAAACCAAGAAAGATAGCCTTTTTGGCTCTAGGATCAAGTTTATTTTCAGTCACATGAAAATAAGCAGGTGAACCAAAAATACGGATATAGTCATAATCAGAAAAAGGTTTTCCAGTCCATACCTCCATTGGTGTCTTACCCTGAACAGCAGCTGAGGGTAACCGGTTGATGATGTGACATGCATAATTAACTGCCTCTGCCCAAAATGACTTGCTTAAACCCGACTGAGACAACATACATCTAACCTTCTCAAGCAAGGTTTGATTCAATCTTTCTGCAACTCCATTTTGTTGTGGAGTTCCCCGAACACTGAAATGTCTCACAATTCCTTCCTCTTTGCAAACTTTAAAGAAAGGATCGGATGTGTATTCACCACCATTATCCGATCTCAAAATCTTAATCTTTCTCCCAGTCTGGTTCTCAACCATTTTCTTCCAACCCAAGAAAATGCTTAACACCTCACTCTTGTGCTTCATAGTGTAGACCCAAGACCTTCTTGAATAATCATCAACAAAGGTCACGAACCAATGTCTACCACTCAAAGAGGGAGTCTTTGTAGGACCCCAAACATCCGAATGCACATAATCAATAATGCCCTTCGTCTGATGTACCGCAGTACCAAACTTCACTCTAGTTTGCTTCCCCAAGACACAATGCTCGCAGAAATCAAGCTTACAAGTCGTGGCACCTTTTAGAAGACCTTTTTTCACAAGCCCTTGTAGAGCTTTCTCACCGGCATGGCCTAATCTCATATGCCACAATCTAGTAGTATCTGAATCAAATGTGCCCATATTTTCAGAGACTACAGATGCTTCACCTATCACAGTGCTTCCCTGCAATAAATACAAATGGCCACATCTAGGAGCTTTCATCACAACAAGTGCACCATAAGTAACTTTCAATGTCTGTCCATCTGAATGAAACCTGAAGCCCTTGGATTCCAAAGTACCCAAAGAAATAAGATTTTTCTTCAAATTCGGTACATACCGAACACCTGTCAACTCTTTAACCATGCCATCATGCAACTTCAAACGAACTGTACCAATCCCTTTTGTTGTGCAAGGATTGTCATCTCCCATGAACACAACGCCACCATCAAACTCTTTCAAGCTTGAAAACCAATTTTTGTGAGGAGTCATATGATGAGTACAACCCGTATCCAACACCCACTTAGTAGCACAATCAAATGATAAGGAAGTGGTTAAAGCAAAATCAGAAAAATCTGTTTCAACCTCAGCAACATTAGCTTCAGAACTTTCTTTTCCTTTGGTCTTCAATTTGGGACAATCTTTCTTCCAATGGCCCTTATTACGACAAAAGGCACATTCATCCCTTTCCAAAGGTTTTCTACCTTTAGAGTTTCCTCTAGGTCGAGACTGTGATTTTTTCCTGCTAGAAGATGACCTCCTCTCCGACGATCTACCTCTAACAAATAAAGCTTCAGGTACTATCATGATTTTTATCTCTATGCCTCATTTCATAATTCATCAAGGCATTTGACACATCTTCAAATTTCACAGTTTCTTTACCATGCATAATAGTGGTAACAAAATGCTCATAAGAGTCCGGCAATGAATTCAACAATATTAAGGCCTTATCTTCATCCTTAATATCCTCATCTAAATTTAACAAGTCGGCAATCAACTTATTAAAAGCATCAAGGTGTCTAATCATTTTTGTACCTTCTTTGTATTGGAAGCGGTAGAGTTTTTTCTTCAAGTGTAGCCGGTTATCTGCACTCTTCGTCATATACTTGTCTTCCAATTTTTGCCACAACACACTTGCCAATGTCTCCCGCATCACAAAATACTTCTGAGTTTTTGCAAGGCACAACCGAATTGAAGAGCAAGCCCACAAATTTAATTTCTCCCATTCCAGCTTCGACATAGCTTCCGGCTTCTCTCCCAAAGCGGCAAGTAGATCTTGTTGAGCCAACACATCTTTGACCTCACATTGCCACATCCCGAAGTTGTTTGTGCCATCAAACTTTTCCACTTCGAACTTTGCATTTTGCACCGTAGTTCTTGCAAACTCGGAGGTGCTTCCAAAAGGATTCTCATCTTGCCCGTCTGACATCTTTGGCAACTAGACAGTACCTAAGAGCAACCAGTGCTCTGATACCAATTGTTGTGCTAAGATAGCACCAAACCCGTTGGAACCAACTCAAGCTAACCCACAGGAAATTTACCAAATGAAAATGCAAGAACAAAATATTAAAGACACCAAGATTTTAACGAGGTTCCTCAACAGTCAGTGTAACTGGAGTACGTCCTCGGAGCAGTAGAAGCTCACCCAATAATCCACTATCAAACAAATGGGAGTTTACAAAGTGTTGGCAATCTCACAACCCAAATAACCCAATACACCCAATAACTCTCACACTCTAAAGAAACAAATAGAGAAAGAAATATAGTGATTAATTTCTTCTTTATACAAAACTCATAGTTATTACAACAATAACACTTTGATGGAGTGAGAACTATCCAATGAAAGGAACAACAACTCATTCTCTCAAAATGGTACTGCATCAGTACCTTCTTTCTCTCCCTCTCTTCTCTTCGGCTCACCAATTTTTCTGCTCTCTTAAAAAAACAAAAGGGCAGCAGCTCCCTCATCATAACATAGCCTTCATTCAAGTCACCCCGTGACTTCCCATGGACCAAGAAAACTTTAGACAAATATCCCTTTTCTTTTCCCCAAAATAAGGAAGAGACATAATTATTTTGTCTACCTTTTTCTTTATAATTTTTTATAGTCAAAAGTTGGCCACTTGGCCACATACTCCAACAGTAACAACACATTCCAAACAGCTAAGTTTCGGTCCAGCAACTCATCAAACAGCTTCACAGCTACATTGTCTAGTCCCATATGGAAATTGTTGAAAACACTGCACAAAATCAAAGACAGGGAATGAGTTTACCAAGAAAATTGAAGAACCAAAGAACACAAAGATATCTTGGGTTGAGTCGCGGACAATGTCGCTTTCTTTAAGACGTTTCGCGGCTCTGCCCAAAGTGTGCAAGCAGTCACAAGTGCCACGCCGTCCCCAGGATAAAACTGCCCAGAATCACAACTAAATAGACCTTTGCATTGAGAAAGATCCAAAGCTTTCACCCACTCTACAACTCAATGTTCTCAAAATATTTTTCCGTTTTTCAGTAATGTGTTTCCCGACTAGAACCCTAGCATTTAAATACTACTTAGAGGGATATTAACGTTGGGGTAGTTCAGGAGAAAATGCTCATAAAATTCGGCCATTAAATTAGGAAGCAAATCAATTAGTTGAGAAAGAATAGGTCTTCTTAACAAAACAAAACTTTTTGTTGAAAAGGGATTCTCCATAAAATTAGGAATCCAACGTTAAACCATCTGACTAATTCTAAATTTTAAATAAACACACAACCCTAACAATCCCCCACTTGGTTATTTAAACTTGAACATTGGGTAAACTGTGATATAGTCGTGCATAAATGATGGTGTTATTCAACTTGAACCAAAACATAGTGACATTGCTCCAGAATAACAAGAGTAACACTTAGTTTTGAACTCAATCTCTGACAACAAAGCACACACGACTCCTCTTGGGTGAAGCTCAAGGCCAGCACAGTTTCGGCCATGTGCTTGTATCCCAGTTTAGTGATAGTGCTAGAAGTTAGCCCTAGAAACTTCATAGTGGCGGCCTCACCTTTACTATCACAAAGGTGAAACTATCAAGGATGCTCCTATAGCTAAATATCCTACTCAACTAGAGTATAGTTTTCATTAAGAGTTTCATAACTCATCCTTTATTCGTGCTACATGATTTTATGCCTTTGCAGACGACTTCTACAAAAGTATGGCATGAGTCCATATCACTTCATGGCTTGTTATTACCTGTTGAACCAATTTCTTGGGATCTCCAGTCCAAAGGTTAGTTTACCATCACAAGTGACTCAACTTATCAAGGGCTTTAACCCCATTGTACTAGAGGTTTTCCAAACTTTTTCTCGTGCTAATCCTTTCGTCAAAGGGTCAGCAAGATTATCTTCAGACCTGACATGATATATTCTGACAGTCCCTTTGGAAAGAAACCCAGTTACCGTGCTGTGTTTTCGACGAATCTTTCGTCTCTTTCCATTAAAATATCGATTTTTCACTTTTGCAATAGTTGATGTGCTATCACAGTGAATAAACACAGCAGTAACTGGTTTCTCCCGTAATGGAATGTCTGACAAAAGATCCTTCAACCATCCTGCTTTTTCACTAGTTGTTGCTAGGGCAATCATTTCAGATTCCATTGTTGATTGAGCAAGTATGGTCTGTTTCTTAGACTTCCACGAGACTACAGCTCCAGCTATATTAAAAATATAGCCACTCGTGGCTTTAGAGTCTTCTGATAGTGTATTCCAATCAGCATTGCTGTATCCTTCAAGAACAGCGGGAAACTTTTCATAACATAAACCAAAATTGATAGTCCTTTTAAGGTATCTTATTACCCTTTCAATTGCATACCAGTGTTCCATATTGGGACTACTCGTGTACTTACATAGAACCCCAACTGCATAGGCTATGTCTGGCCTAGTGCAATCAGTAGCATATCTGAGGCTACCAATGATGCTTGCATACTCAATTTGTCTAACACTTTCACCAATGTTCTTAAACAGCTTCATACTATGATCAAACGGTGTACAAGCAGGCTTACAATCAAAATATTTGAACTTCTTCAGAATTTTTTTCTAAATAATGTGATTGACTTAGAGAAAATCCCTTCTCAGTTTTGTTAACCTTTATTCCAAGAATTAAATTTGCCTCTCCTAAATCCTTCATATCAAAGTTATTGCATAGCATGGTTTTTACTTCATTTACCAGGTGAATATTTGAGCAAAAAATAAGCATGTCATCAACATATAAACATATTACCACACATAGATTACCCTCAGTTTTAACATACATGCACTTATCACTTTCATTAATTTTGAAACCATTATCAAGAAGTAAACAATCAAATTTAGCATGTCATTGTTTAGGTGCTTGTTTTAAACCATAAAGTGACTTATTTAACCTACAAACTTTATGCTCTTGCCCAGGTATTACAAAACCATCAAGTTGATCCATGTAAATTTCTTCCTCTAGTTCTCCATTTAGAAAAGCAGTTTTAACGTCCACTTGATGCACAACAAGATTATGTAAAGATGCTAATGCAAACATGACTCGAATGGATGTAATTCTAGATACGGGTCAGAAAATGTCAAAGAAATCATTTCTTTGTACAGAGAAAGATCCAAAGCTTTCACCCACTCTACAACTCAATGTTCTCAAAATATTTTTCCGTTTTTTAGTAGTGTGTTTCCCGACTAGAACCCTAGCATTTAAATACTACTTAGAGGGATATTAACGTTGGGGTAGTTCAGGAGAAAATGCTCACAAAATTCGGCCATTAAATCAGGAAGCAAATCAATTAGTTGAGAAAGAATAGGTCTTCTTAACAAAACAAAACTTTCTGTTGAAAAAGGATTCTCCATAAAATTAGGAATCCAACGTTAAACTATTTGACTAATTCTAAATTTTAAATAAACACACAACCCTAACAGAAATAAAGATCAACAAGTGAACTCCCTACATACAAATTCAAGCCGAACCCAAGTGAGACAACCCTGCAATGAACTTGCATTCCTTCTCTACAAAACCCTGCGTCATTACAAACACCCAAAACCGATGAAAACGTGGACGCACTTTCTCTAATTCCTTGTGAAACCATTTCAGCGTACAAGTGAAAAGCCTGTTCCGGAAACCCATGTCGCCCGTCCTCCAGAAATAAGCATGTTATAGGTAACAACATCGTATACAAGCATTTCATCGAACAGTTTGAGGGCAGTGTTCAAGTCCCCGGATTTTATCAAGCCATCGATTTTCCGGTTGTTGGAGTAAACTATGTCACGAGCACTGGGTTCAAAGTATGAGTCTGAACGCAAGCTGTGGATACGGGACTATGATCCTTTCCGGATCCTCTTTGTGGGGATCCAGAATGATTGATGCATTTGTGGGGATCTGGAATGATTTATGCGTTTATCGTGCATCGTGCATCGTGCGGTCAATTTTGGTTAAATAGTATTTATATTTAATTTTAAATTCTAAATTCAAAATGATTTTTAATCACACGATGTACGATGAACAAACTTGATTGCTTAATCCTTCGGATCCCCACAAAGAGGATCCTTTTAGGTAGATAGTTAATATTTGGCGCAAACGCTGTTTTGAAACGTACGGTAGACAGCGACCTAGTAATCTACATTGGCCATCCGGCTCTCAGAAGTGAAATTGACAACATTCGAATGTATTAATCTCAGGTTCGAATTAATGATTGACCAATTTCATTACCCTCTTTGTCGTTCCGGTGTTGTTTTTTATGCGGTGTTATAGACGAATACAACGCTAAGTGAAATGAACGATATTCTAAATTACTTTTCACTAATATCTTAAATTGTTATAACGAAAAATGAAATTGACGATATTCTTAACTACTCTTTATTAATATTCTAAACTGTTATAACAAAAAGTGTAATTGACGATATTCTAAAAAATAGGTATTTTGATATGGGTTCAAAGTAACTAAAAATTGAACATATTTCAGAAGTAACCTATAAAATTGGATCTATTTCAAAATTTCCCTATTCTAAAATACCATGACAACGAGGCAAAATTTAAAAATTGAATATAAAAAAGAACATAGTTCTAACCAACTACCTCACGTCTGCAAAAAATACATTGACCTAACAAACTTGATAACAAGCTCGAAGAACACATTTTTAATACATGTTTTTTTAAAACAAAATTACTAATATTAAGAGGAGGAGAAAGGATTTAAAGCTCTTTACATAATTTAAAAAAATGGACACATTAGTAAAAACTCAATATCCTATTCACTAGAATATTAGATCCCATGAATACCTTTGCTTTGCTTGCAAATTGTGCGTTATTTATTGGGAATTTTAACAAACACTCATAGTACTGTTCACTTTTAACGAAAAACCACATTTATACATTTTCCTAATACTATTCATTATACCTTTAAAAATGACTTTTCATTAAAAGATAAGTTTTTTTGGACTTTTCGTTAGTTTTCCTTTATTTTTATTTGATTTCTACAAGACAAACTTTGGTTGCAATATGCAAATGAAAAGCCATGATACATTTGGAAAAAAAGATTTAAGTAGAAAAAAAGTGAGAGCAAATCTTCGAACCGTCACAAGACATGGACGAACATTATTTTACATTGACGACGACACCTCCCGGCCAATAGGAAACAACCCATTTTCCTCACCAAAAGCAAACAGCAATCAAGTTCATACAAATTATTACACAATTATAATGATATTGACACCATTGATTTACATTTAGCAACATTAACATGTAGCTGCAATCGCCTCCAAAAGGGAGGCCACAAAGCGCATCTGAGTTTCTTCATTGATTCTGGAAAAGAGAGGAACGTGGACGAATAAAGATTTGTGGCACCTTTCTTCTGCAAAACGGAGGGAATGATAGTAGACATAATTGCACACAAAGCGCCCGGCATCATCTGATATTGCCACATCATATCCTTTCTTCTTCAATATCTTAAGGATTGCCTCGGTCGAGCAACATGTCTTCAAGAACCAAATGGTGGAAAAGTTAGCGCACATGGACAGGGAGACAGAAGGGGGACGAGAGGACTACATGAGCATGATAAATAGTTTCTTGGATGACGACACATTATGCCAAGTCCAGTATTAGTGATTCAATCAAAACTTAAAAGAAGATGGACAATTAATTTGTTAATTTGTTTATATACAGCAAAACTTCCTACGCAGCAGTTCCCCTTTCAGTTTCTATTAGAATTTAGTAGAATCAGTCACGAGAGTTCATCCACAAGTCATCTAACAATTTATTGATTGGGAAACTAAGCACACCAATACGTGACATTATCATTACATTCCATGTAAATAAATGTCAAACCCTGCAACATCGAAGGCTTGAAGCCTTTCCCTCGGTTGCTTATATAAGAAAACGCAAAAATTCTGCAAAATGTTAATTCAGCACAAAGTGAAACTATACATTGAACTCCGACCCTAAGTATTTGATGCCCGACTCTGAAAGCATATCGAAATTCTACAAAAGATAAATTGTGTTTTATGAATAATAAATATAGTATTGCAAATAGATTATAGAAATACCTCTCTCACTCGAGAAGTTCCTCCATCCTCAGGGACTATTGGTTGTTGCTGGAAGAAGAGCAATAAAAGAAAACTAAGTTCAACAAATTCAAGATAATAGGAACCCTGGTAAAGTAAAATAAGGAAACACCACTAAAATAGGAAGAATCAGACTCACCTGAGGTTGCCATCCTAACTCATCTGGACAGCGGAAAGTGGCTTCGTTTACTGCTTGCCGCTCAATAGCAAATTTTACAGCCCCACTATTTACCCCCAAGTGAAGCTGAAGAAGCAACGGAATTAAAATGATAATAACAACATACAGAGGACTGCTGCTAACTTATGTTTCTGCATAAAAATGTCTGTTGGAATCTGTTCACACAAATTCATGAAAACATTTATCTGCAAAGCAACAAAACCTGACAAGAAGCCTCCAGCCAGCGAAGCACAAAAAGTTTATGGCAAGTTAGGAATCAAGATATCAATGTTAGCCTTAATCTTGGAATAACACAACGTAATTCATGGCAGATGAATGGGGTTAGACCATGATAGTGTAACAACGAACTGAAGCAAAAGTGTGCATTGTGTGTTTAACAAAAGCAACTAAACAATCAGAGATCAAAATGTCTTGTCAGTCCTCTCCTCACAGTAGTAAACAAGGGTAGCAAGATGAACCCATGAAGCACAAGGGGACCGTCTAAGTCAATAGATGCATAAATTTAGTACTGCAAGTTAGTTCCTCACATGCCAAAAAGGAAACCAATGCGGTGACAGAGTCCAAACATTCCCAAAGAAAATAACTTTTCCAGATTTAGAACAATACTATCTAACTACCCAAAACAATGTGGATGCTTTTTTCATTTCTAGCAATTCAAACCCCGAAAACGAAACTAAATTTTGCAATCCTAAAGGAGATACTCACCCATACGACTTGTTCATGGCTCTTAGAATCGGTTGCTGAAATCCCCGATTCCATGGCCTTGTAAAGAGCAGCGCGTGCACCGTCTCCTGCTGTTTCAAGAACATCACAGCTGCCAAGTTTAAGACCAGCAGGCAACGCTCTCTTCTCAACAAACCCCCTCAGATTGCTAACTATAGTCTCTGTGGGATTCTCAGCAACCCCCTGGAACTTCTTGAACCCGCTCACATGAACAACCACACTCTTTGGTCCTTCTGATCCCATTTCCTCACTCTGCACCCGAATACAATTCCCAATCTTCAATAAACTCCGCTGTCAAAACACAAAATTCAAAATTTTCAAAACCCCAACCTTCGTTTTCGATAAAGTTACAATCTTTTTGGTCAAAGAAGACATCCCATCAAAGATTCTGAGATAATCAGGCTAGTTCACTAGTAATTTAAGCATCAAACACCATATTTTTACTTGAATATAACGAAAAATGCATGCTTTTACAGCCAAAAATGGGAATTAAGCCTTGGAAATATCAGTTGACCGATTAGAATTTCATTACAAAAAAACAGAGAAAAATCCAGAATTTAAAAGACAAAGGGACTAAAGAAATATATATTCAGAGTCGGATGAAAGCAAACCTTGGAAATTCAGGACGGAGCTCTCGAGTCCGTGGAGAGTTTGGAGAAGGAAAATGCCGTCCGCAAACTGAAGAAAGCAAAAGCTGGTTTTGGCTTCTGCTTCTTTCATCGGCCTTTAAGCTTTAACTTTGTTTGCTGGAGGCTAATTAAATAGCCATTTGTTGGTCAATCTTTTACGAAAATGCCATGATAGTCTGCCTCATCATCTGTATAATAATGCCACCACAGGGCGGTGGGACACGTCATATACTTTAATTTACATCAAATAATAATTGGGTCCATATAAATGTTCTGCCATGGACCCATTACGAAATCGACCACTCTGCATGCCAAAAGTGTCGTAAAAATTCGGTCAAGACATTCACACGCAACCAAAGCTTTCATGTCCATGAGCTATAGCTCGCGCAAAGACTCCCTCAAGGTGTCAATTTACGTGTAGATTGATATGAAGATGTTTAAGTGTCGAACATGTGATTGTGTGCCTCTTAAATACTTAGCCGCTGTCGTGTAATTGATGGATTTTTAATGTTAAATAAAGACGAGTCATGAATGAATTAGGATGGTCCCAACCCATCCAGATATTCTTTTCACTTATAAAAATTTGGTGTTATGCTTATAATTTTCAAGGTTTTTTTAAAGGTTCAAGGCCGCAATTTGACGTTATTTAATTTCATCTATCAGGTTTGATGTGAGGTTGGTGGCTCTTATGTAATCTATTGCTAGTGAGCTTTAGGAATGACTTTAGTTTGAGACCAATAAAAGGAAAGAAGAAAAAAGTGAAAGGCTTGAAGTTTAAATTTGAGAATAAAAAATGATGAAAACGACACCAAATCAGACTCAAACAACAATGACAGCCGCTGTCACATAAAGATAACATATGTTTTTTTTTTGCAAGCACTTAAGCCCTTTGTCACATAAAGATGTGTTGCTTGCTTCCAAATAAAGTCTACTGGCGACGAGACGGAAACAAAAACGACATCGAGTGTTTCGTCGTGTGATTGCGGTAGACTTTATATTGTAGAAGCTCAGAGCAAACAGACGACAAGTCATTGAAGTGAAGCAATTTTAGAAGAAGAAATGGGGAAGATTCCGGTGAAGATGAGAGCAGTGGTGTACGCGCTGTCGCCGTTTCAGCAGAAGGTGATGCCCGGCCTCTGGAAGGACTTCACCGGCAAGATCCACCACAAGGTCTCCGAGAACTGGCTCAGCGCCACCTTCCTCCTCACTCCTCTCGTCGCCACCTACTCGTAAGTCTTCGATCTAAAAAATTAGGGTTAGGGTTTTCCGATTATGTTTCTAAATTAGTAATTGATGGCATTAGTGCTCAATTGGTAATGGTTTTTGAAGTGGGTCGCAAGTATTTTTGGTGAATTGTTGAAATTTATGGTCAAAATGTTGGATTTGGGACCGGTCTGATTTGGGGATTTTGAATATTTGGGTGGATTAGTAGATGATTTGGGTTTTGATTTGGTGGGATTTGCAGGTATGTGCAGTATTACCAGGAGCAGGAGAAGTTGGAACACAGGTACTGAAGATTGGCTTTGATTTGAGATGAAAAGATTGGGAATTTTTCTTGTTAGCTGCAATGATAGACTTTGTTCTCTGATTGCAATTACACTAGTTGTAATTTGAATGTTTGTATTGAATTAAATGACTATGACCCTGAAATGAAGAAGGGTTTGAGTTCTATCGTTCTGGAAACAAGTTTGTAATTTGTTAATCAGATGGTTGAACTTGATATGCAAATTCAAGCTGCATAATAAATTGAGATTGCAACTCCATTCTGCTTATTACCAGTGCAAAATCCTCGCACCATTCGATACAGGTGCAGGATTGATGCTGGTGCTTGGTCCTCTGCTAGTGGATTGTAAAATCTTGATGAGGACGACTTATATTATATGTAAGGTTATTTTTCTCTCTCCATTTGGCATGAATAGTGGACCGGGACATTACGTGGCGCTGAACTTGTTTCATACAAGTTGCTCTGCTCTCCTTGATGAGAGTGAGGCCACTACATTGTGGCAAGGCTCTTCAGATATCAAGTGAAAGTTGATGCCATGGACGATTGTCCGGGCCGTAACTTGAGCAATGCAGTATTGTCTGCGCAGCTCTTGGTGATCTGCAGGTGAAGTTGTTTGATGAAGCATGAGTTTTTGCAAGGACTGGAAGGTGTATCGTGGTTGAGCTTTTATGTGCACGTATTCTAAAACTTCATATGTTAGCCCGACGGAGTTAATAAGCGGCATGTATCTGTTTAAAGATAGCCTTCGTTCCATACCGATCCGTCCCAGGTGTGCCCTGTAGCAAACTTACCGGAGAAATGATGCACGGCAAAAACTAGAAAATCGTAATTGAAATTTTACACCGAATCATTGAAAAATCAATCATAACGTTGTTATGTGCAAGTCTAAATGCCATAGCTGCTTCAGAAGAACAATCATCTAGGGCAGCTAATTACAAATGGAAGCCTGAACCATCAAAATTTATCCTTTATCCAGGCCAAAAAAATCATTAATCTGTGGTGCCGCGGTGGCACCATGTAGCCTGGGATTTACAAACGCAGTTCTCATCCGCTTCCTCATCTCTCGTTCTGATAAGACTCCGGAAATGCTCTTGACAACAGCAAGTTCTTTATCCTAATAATTAGAGCGAAGACGCCGTAGCATGGGAGATGCATCAATCCAACCCCAAGATACCTGCAAGGTTGGCAACAATGATAAGGCGACATGCAGTCCAGTTTTTGCAATATTTGTTTGTCGAGGTTAGAAAAACATACCATAAGGGAGCATACGAGGATGACAGGTCGAGAAATGGATAAGGCCACCTGCAACGAAGTTACCATGTTTATGAGCAATAGTTGAATTTCTTCAATCTCGAACAAAAGCAATTTGAAATGTAGTTTTACCACATGGATTTGCAAGCATGGAATATCCACTGAAAAATCACGAATACCCCTGTCCACAGCACAAAATATGCGATTCGAAACAATGGAAACCGCTGAAAGGAGGAAGAAGAGAGAAGTTTTTAAGCTTTAATCATGAAAAAAAATAGAAAATGCCGTCAAAACGAACAAGGAACGAAACATACCATGTTATTCAAAAATGCCTCGCCAAGGAGGAAAGGGGCGTTGACTGAGTGCATTATGACCATCATCTGCAGTTGAATGAAGAGGAAGACGCGTCAAATAAAAGCGGTTCACTACTGGAAATTAGAACAGCAACTCAACTCTAGTTACAAACTATACAAAGGCACAATTTTGGACTGCTTCCACTGTAGGGGTGGTTTATAAGAACCTTAATGTCAATGAAATTAGCAGCCTTGTACTTACAAAATTCAGTTTGTAGGCTTTGGATGTTAGAAATGGATACAGAACAAGCCAAAATATGCAATCAGTGATAGCCACAGCACCTCCACACATCTATACACATGAACAAAGAGAAGGAAACAACCTGGTTGAGATAACAGAAGCTCAGATTTTACCTAACTTGAAGAATCCAAGTCCAAATTTATTAACCAGAACTGCAGCCACTTGTTGGAGAAAACCTACCTGATAAATAATTTGAAAGATGTATTCGCGTGCACCTGCACCTTTGCGGCCATGATATTCTTCATGAGTAAGACTTTTAGATCCATTGGACGTATTGCTATTCTCACGTAGTGTTGGAGCAACATAAGCGCCTCGCCCCTCATCCTCACCAATTCTATTGAGATGCTTATAAATTCCGCAAAGTGAGACTGAAGATCCATACTATAAAATGATGTTCAGAACATATTAAAACTCGGGATAATGTGATTCAAGGAAACCGAAGCATAATGACTCTCATATTTCATCAATCCTAATGAGCATCTTTGAGTGGTAAGATTGAACTGAGCGGTCGAAGGTACAAAAACAAACTACATATTATATTTCAAGTACTTTACTACAATGTAAATGCAGGTATGCTCAAGACAAGGTTAAAAACATACCCCGAAATAGAATGTGACCAAAACAAACGTCCACCTGTTAAGCACAATAGGCCAATAGAGTACATCAGCATATAGAGCGTTGCACATGTACAATTAACACAATAAGCTTCAAATTTGTGCGCATCCGCTCCTCAGAGTGGTTTCTAAGATCACGAAGATGAAAAATACAAATAAATAAGATAGCTTACTGAGTATAGAAGTAAAAGATGCCGGCTCCATCAAGAGCAACATTAGCAACTATCAACCCCAACATCACAACAAAAGCAATTATTCTATAAGCAAGTAACCACGCGGGATGTATTCCTTTAAGACACGTCTTCCAGGCTTCATCCTCGTACAAAGTCCCTACCGTTTCTCGCTGATCCACTGCTCTCCTGCCAGTTCTCGATTTTTTGAAACCTTCATATTTCCATATAAGAACTGAGGCTACAACCATGGTAGATAAGATCCATGTTGCACAAATGAGAAACCTCCAATTCAACCAATAACTCGGATCAGTTGTATCCGCCGTCATGACGGGTTGCCAAGTATGGTTCGATGATCCTGTGAAGAAACTCATAGCTCGTAAGTTTCACACCTACTTGCCCCACTAATTATCTCATCTAATTTGTATTCAAATTTGTCACAGAAATTGCAAAAACATGAAAGAGAAAATGGTAGAAACCAGAACAACCCAGCAAATTTCTGTGACAAAAACTGTGTAAAACAGTTAACATGTCAAATGTTAACAAAACAAAAACAACAGTTCCAAATGTTCGGGGAAGAAATAAAATCAGTTGGGCAGTTAGTCCGTTGTTAAAAAACCATCGTACAAATCAAATAACGATTCGACAGAAGTGTGAAGCACAAATGAAGGAACCCAAAAAACTACAGTAGGAAGGGATCATAATCCAAGTACAAATGCAGAAGAAAACAAAATAATAACAGGAGCTTTTTCATGGTTAAATTAAGGAGCGGAAGAGGAGAGATTCCTTACTTTAAAGTGGGGTTTCCCGGAAAAATGTTGTCAACTCGCGATCACATCAAAACGAGAATAACAAACGTTGGTTCCTCTGAAAAGGAGAGGCCTGTCAGCCTTCGGTAGTGAATTTCCCCAAGGTTAAAAAAAAAAAAAGATGGATTCTTTGCTTCTCTCTTTTCTTCTCCCAATTGTCTCAGAGAGAGAGAGAGGGAGAGAGAGCAAATGGAGGGCGTTTGGAAGATTTCACCTTTTTTCCATTTTTGTGTGTGTGAATGCTGCAGTTGGCGTGGAGGACTGGATTGGATGGGATTGGATTGGACAGAAGAAGAAACAGAAAATGGAAGAGAAGACAGAACCAACTTTACCTCTTCGAGTCCAGAATCAGCTATTGGATATGTATTCTTTATTTCTTTTGTTTTTTATTATTTATTTATAATCGTGAGGGATTAGGTGGTGCTACGTTCCAATTTTCCAGACTCAAAGTAATCCGCGTGTTTCAATTGGCGCATTTGTGTGGATCGATTTGGAATGTTCCAGTCTATATTTATTTTTAAAATTATTTTGTTTGGCCTACTAGCATTTAGCTTCGTTTTTCAACCAAAAAGGAAACAAAACCTTGTCACATCATCATTTAACAGGAACTTATATATAACATTGCAACCAATGCATGAATTTGTTTAATAGCTCGTTTGGACGTGTTTTTAAAAAAATTGAAAGCGTTTTTGATGAAAATATTTTTATAACCAATCCTTAGTAAAAATGCAAGTAAATTCTGTAAAAACACTTAAAAGTAAGGATGCGAGTTGCCGGTAAAATAAACGCTACAACGGGACTAAAAAGTAACAAACCATAAACCAAAGGCCTCCTTTGGCAGATTTTATTGAAATTAATCATGGTCGAGTTTGTCTGCTATTACATCGACAGGTAATGATCCCATGGGGATTGAATCACTCTCATAAAATTCATCATCATCACTCTCATTGTCGTAATCATTGTCAATATAGTCGTCGTATTCGCTATAAGGGTCCCTTTGGTCTTCTTCAAACACTTGAACCGAGCTGCCGGAACCGTCTTCGCTCGACACGATCAGCGCCGGATAGGAGTGCTCTGTCGCCTGCGAAACACTGTCGAATTCCTCGACCTTCTTCAAGAGAGCGTCAGGATCGAGGCCAAGCTCATCCAGAAGCAGTGCTTTGTTTGAGTCGATAGAGCGTTTCCAGAGAGACATCATTTTAGGGCTTGTTATCACTGTTTTGGCATCAGGTTTACAAGGTTTATCATCTTCCTTGCCTGAAAAAGCATAATCAGAATGTAAACGGAAGTCAGATGGAGCGTTATAAAATGGATCGTTGTAAAATGAATCGCGCATTACAGCCTAGAATCACAGAAGAAAATCACTGCTTCACGAATTAAATTGAATTCCTATTGCATTATTACTGAGAGAGAAACAAAACAATGTATACGGAATAATACACAGTAAAGACTTTGTCCGCATCAATGTTCAACAAAACTTGGACTTAAGAACGCAATTTCTAGGATATTGCTTCTCTTGTCAGTAACTGGTATGAACTTTCCCAACAAACAGGTTGCAATCATGCATGCCTTCTCCACTTTGTAAAGCTAGTCCGATCGACCGATGTCTACTCAACTCTAGTAGCCACCACAAGTCTAATATCAACTAACTTTTAAC